GCGGCGCGATGCAACGCAACGTGTAAAAAGACAGTATAAGTCATCATAATCCATAATTATGCCCCCACTGGATGCAACGAATGCCTCGTTTATAATGGGTTTTCATGTTTTTGAATCATCTCTCTGGCCGGACAGGGCATCACAATATGGTAGGGGCCAGAGCCATAGAAAGAGAGAGTTGCGTCAACGGAAGTGGAAAACGCTCGCTCGTCACGTGATTCATGTAGACCTCAAATAGTTCCAGGAAGTTCATAGCGGGCAATTGAAATACATCGAGTTGGAGAGACAGAACTGTGATTTTTGGTAATTAGTAAACAATAAAATAATTTATTTACATTATTTATAAAATAATGTATACGTAGTATATATATAGAGAGATGTAGTTATATTAGTGTTGTTTTTAAAAGATAAAATCCTCTAATATTTGAGGATCAGCTATCCTTACCTGCCTTGTTAACATATTTTAGGCTGAAGTTACCATTATAAAAGTCCGTGTTTGCTATATAAACGACATTGTGGTCTTCTGTCGAGGTAACTTCAGCCTCTCTATATAAATATAATTATATGTGTGTGTGTGTGTGTGTGTGTGTGTGTTCTTACAACTTGCTTGTTCAATCACAAATATACCTGTTCATTGTCATTTTACTAATCTCATGGTAAATGTTAAGTTTGTTGTCATAGAAAATTCGTTCCAAATAAATGAAGATATTTTATTAAGTGAAAACTAATCTTGTTCAATGTTTTTGATTCTTGTGCACCCCTCAGTTATTAATATATAAAAATATATTTGTAGTATATTCCAATTTAAAACAACTTAAAACATTTTTACACATTTAATCATATATTTTATGTATGTTGACTTTTGTTATGCACTTATTTACAGCAATCGATTTATACATTTATAATAAACTATAAAGCATGTTGTCCTTGAACAGTCTCCACTGTAGTTTGCTGTGCTGCATGGGAGTGCTCTGTTAACAGGTGTAACTGTGCCAAAGTAACGGTAGAAATGTTCTAAAATTAGGCTATACAAATCATGCAGTTAAGTAACGTCATGTATTCAGAAACAGTTAAATATATACAGAAACAATGAACAAATTAAAGCAATGGTTACATGATGTGATCATGTTGATTACAATGCAAGGAAAATGTAGCAGTTTTGTATGTTTATTCAGAGTCCGCTTCATCTGAAGTCCTCTGAAGGGTGGGCGTCATCTCTTCACAGGTGTTGGGTCATCTGAAGTCTTCGTAAGAGGCTGGATATAGTCAGCAGGAGCAATCTACAGATTACACCAACAAAATGTGATGGAATCATACTAGGGAACTGGCACTTTTTCACAAAGAGCAGGGAAAGACTTGCCAAAACCAGTGAAGAGACTCATTGTGAGGGTGATGTATCTTTACAGGGAGTCTTCAGGTGGTTCTTGTTCTGAAAGCAAGATAGCGAAGGAGAAAAACACAGGAGAAACGGTTAAGCGATGTGGCATCTGCTCCTTCAACACAGTGCTTCTTTAGTAGCTAAGATATTTAAGTATAAAATACAGTAATAATGTACAGGTTTAATGTAATTACTTCTGTAATATAGTAGTGGTATATAATCCATTTTTGGACATTTAGCCTAGCATGATTCTGAAATGAAAACTGCTCACCTACATTAAACTTTTCATTCTCATTTTGGTCCATCTGCATCCTTTGCAATATCTCTAAGTCTATTTAATAACTCCCCACCAGCAAAATCACTTTTAAATCACACAACGATGGATGAAACTGCATGAAGAGAATGAATAACATCCCGTAAATCTATTAATTAAGTGAGGAATAATCTAATAATCATCTGTTTTAATGCACAGGGTAATTTGATTAGCTGTGCTGATAATAATCAATTTTGTTCTATAATGTCTTACCTTTTAAAAGTTCATCACAGCGGTCTCTTCTGCTGCATCTCTACAGCGCTGATAGTATGAGCGCTAACTTCCGGGAACTATTGAGCGGCTCCACGATCCGCCATTGCTGTAAAAAAACTGGTCCATTGGAGTGAACGGAGTAGTCACAACTCTCTCTCTATACAGCTCTGGTAGGGGCGTAACATTTCCGTCACACGCTTGAGGTATTCGGCCAATCACAACGCACTGGATAGCTGGCCAATCACAGCACACCTCGCTTTTCAGACCGATGAGCTTTGTAAAAATCGACGCGTTTCAGAAAGAAATAGGGCATAGAGGAGAAACAATAATGTACAGTATGTGGAAAATAATGTGATAAACACATTTCATTACACCAAATAATACATACGCAGCGGTGCAGCTCACCCCAGTTACTCTGGAGCTGGGCGGAAAGTACCCCTGTTTGATATATGGCCGTATATAGACATAAAAGCTGCTGCTAAAAGGTCTGGTGTGGGCAAAGTTTTTCCATGCAGGGCAGAGTTGTGTTGCTCCAGACTATGTTTTATGCACTGCTGAGACGAGAGACATGCTGTTACCTCATATGAAAGAGGCTCTGGAGAGTTTCTACGGATCTGAGCCCCAGCAAAGCCATGGGCCGTATTGTGACAAACAGGCAGTGGGACCGACTGGTTGAGCTGCTAAAAAAAGAACATTTAGGATGTTCTGTTATGTGAGGGCTGTGTCTGTTAGCACAACATTCACATTGAGGATGGCAATTTTTTAGATTTGTTCAATGAAGCAGATTGCAACCAGGGAACAAAAAAATGCCTTGTCATTCACCAAGATTTTACAGAGCGTTTGATCAGAAACACAAGCCTTATCTTTGGTTTTTCAATTGTGATGTGATTTAAAACACCACCTGAGGTCAGCATTGAGAAAGGTTACTTCTATGGTGAGAGAAAGAGGCTATTTTACTAGCAAAAGAATGAGTACACTACTCAACTTTTTATGTGCTTATTCCCATCTGATGATTTAAAAAAATCCAATCTTTCATAAAATGGATCATCCATATTTGTTATCAAACATGAGTATAAAGCATTATTTTACTTAAGGTAATTTAGCATCTTTACTGGTACATAAGTTTGTTATATAGCTCATAATAGTTCAGGATTTTCTGTTTACTGAAAATATCAAGGAGCATTTCTAGTTTATGAGTTGTATGCTTGTGTAATTTTCATCTTTAAAGTTGAATACAAAAATAAAGTCTGACAAACACGTTTGCCCTCAGAAAGCATAATGGGTATTTATTTATATTATTGTAATTGCATTTGTTGCTTTTTTGTTTTGAAGAAACTGCTTAAAAAGATAGAATTTGGTTTATTATTTTGACATACAGTACTGTTAAATAGTTTGGGGTTTGGAAACATTTTTACAAAAGCTGGATTAATTTGGTCAAAAATACAGCAAAACAAATTTGAATATATTTAAAAATGTAATTTATTGCATTACTCCAGTCTTCAGTGTCACGTTACTTCAGAAATCATTATAATACGCTGATTTTCTGCTAAAGAAACATTATCAATGTTGAAAACAGTTGTGCTGTTTTATATTATTGTAGAAATCATATAATTTTTCATGATTATTTGATGAATAGAAAGCTCAAAAGAACAGTATTTGAAATGGACATCTTTTGAAACACTGTGAAAGTCTTTACTGTCACTCCTGATCAATTTAACGCATCCTTGCTGAATAAATGTACATATTTCCTTTTTTTTTTTTATTCATACAGTCCCCAAAGTTTTGAACTGTAGAGTACCTTTGGTAAACTATTCGGAATTCATGAGCTTGAAACAATGTAGTTTGTAACCTTTCACAATTTGAACTGTGTCCTTCATGTTTAGTAAAAAAGTTAAAACGACAGGATAACCATCCTAATTTACCCAATGATTTATTTGAATATCTATCAATAAAATATCTTGCTTTAAATCATTTTAACATGTATTATATTAATCGAAAAGCACATTTACAACTGAAAGTATATTGTGTGACATGGTAACACACTCCATCCAAATAATACAGACTTCAAACCCTGTGCTGTAAGCTAGTGTTCCCATCTGGTTTGTTTACAATTAATCTAATTCTGGCTAAAGATACCTATATTTGTACATACAAATATAAAGTCAAGACTGAGTATCTTTACACTTGCATCTGTAATGTCCAGATTCCAGTATTGTCTGAAGTCTTAGTGATACTCAATAAAATGTACAAAAGGAAGGTCACAAGGTTCAGATATGATATGTGAGCTGGTGTCATCTCAAACATCTGCCAAAACACACTGAACCAGAGAGATGCAGTAGTTCACTCGCTCCTGCTGGGAGTCTCTTTCAGGATTCAGGTTTGTATGAGGAGGGAGGGTTGCTGCCGGACTGGCCCGGCTCAGAGGCTTGAGGTTGTGGGGAGGTGGAGGCGCTTGCAAGGCTGGTGGGCTCTTTTTGAATAAGTTCCGGCTCATCCTGTCCAGCCTGTGGTGGATGAACCAGGACCTTGTCAATGATCCCAAAATCCTGCGCTTCCATTGGGCTCATGTACCGGTCTCTCTCCATCACGTTCTCTAAGTGAGGACAACAGAACACAGAAGCTTGATGTCAGGATGTCACGCAATATGGAGTTAATTAAAAATATGTTTTATTATAATATTAATGAAAGATTTATAACAGAAAAATTACCTAAAGTCTCCAAAGGCTGCCCTGTGTGTTTGCAATAGATGTTGTTGATCTGTCTTTTAAGTTTGAGAATCTCCTCAGCCTGGATGGCAATATCCGTTGCTTGGCCCTGAAATGACGAATATTGGCGTTAAAAGTTGTGAAAGCAGTTCCCTCTTTTTCTCCCCCATTCTTACCCTTGCTCCTCCGGAGGGCTGGTGCACCATGATCCGGGCATTGGGCAGGGAATGCCTCATGCCTGTGGTTCCTGCGGCCAGAAGCAGACTGCCCATGCTGGCGGCCTGGCCCACACACCAGGTTGAGATGGGATTTAAGATGTACTGCATAGTGTCATAGATCGCAAGTCCAGCCGTAATCACACCTCCTGCAAGACAGAGACAAAAAAAATGTAGACTGCTGGCTTCAAACATTTCTGTATGGGTTATCAAAAACAATTTTTTTTTTTTTTTTTTTTTAAAGGAACAGTTATTGAGCCTTTAGACAAAATATATATTTTTTAAAAGTCTGTACATGTGTTTTTTGTAATATTTTTTCCTATTTGATACAACAGGTGTTTGTTTCTTATAATATGAAATAATGAAAATATGAAGCTCATACTCGAGGAGGGGGAAAAAGCACCACAATTTCATTCAGAGGCCCAAGTTGAGCAAAAATATGCCATTTGGTGCAGTTGCTGATATTTATAATTTATTCATGTGAGATGAAAGCTTCTAATGAAATTCAGTGAGATCTTCATAACAGTATAGAAAAGTAATTATATAAAATTTATATAAATATCAGTTGTCACTATTTCTCCCAGTAATATATCTTAATGAGATGACATTTACACACAGTTTTATAATTAAACCTCTGTAGTTTTCATTGTGGGGTCAAAACATTTATTGCAATGCAATGATGGTTGCAAATATGCATGTTGTACAAATAAACATTCCTCAAATGCCTGTTGTATCATATTTGATGCATTTTAAAATGATTTTTCTATAGTGCTAACAATATAACATTTATTCTTACATTTACTTTATAAAAATCACAGCAAAGACACGTGCTACAACCTGAAGGGGGCGTTTTTAGAAATACACTTAAAGGCCTTTTTCCTTGTAAAAAATTTATAAACTATTAATTAAATGATAGAAGACTTGTAAAGATTGTGTACAACAGGTTTTTTTTTTTAAGTCTATTTTAGGCTTCTTTTTTTGGGTGCTTGAACAGAATTATGACACTGGGGAAGTGCCACACTGAAGTGAATGAATGACGACATTTTTTCACGACGCAGAGCAGGTTCTGTTTTGTGTACAGCATACAGAAGTGCATAAGTAAACATTTGCCTTCAAATTTACAATAGTGTAAGAATGTGAAAGTGGATTCCCATACACGTATCGATCAATCTCATATGAGCAACAGAAAATTTAAAACGGGACAGATTAAGACCAAGGACTGCCAGATGAATAAGCATAATGATCCAAGCTGCTACAATCTTTTTTATGTCAATGCAGTTATGTTTCTCACCAGGACTGTTGATGTACATGTGAATAGGCTTGTTGTTGCTCTCAGACTGGAGAAAGAGCAGCTGAGCGATAACCAGAGAAGCTACAGAGTCATCGATCTAGATAAAGAAAGGGACAGAAAAACCTGAAAAGGGCTTCCTGAAAATCATTTTAGATCCTTTTATGTCTTTCCTTGCATTTTAACTTACTGGACCCATAACACAAATGATTCTCTCTCGTAGCAACCTTGAGTAGATGTCATATGCACGCTCTCCTCGGCCCTGAAACAGAAAAGACTTTTAAAGTAGCAGTCAAAGTTCCTGCAACACTAAGAAGCTGCACTATTGAACTTTTGAATTTACAATTATGGGCTCTAAAAGTAACTTCTTGATACTAGATGATCAGTTTAAAGAAAGTCATCACGAAAAGTGCTGCTAATGTACTCTTACCGTCTGCTCCACAACTATAGGTATGAGTGGACTTCTCCATGGCGCACTCTGATGAATGGAACGACTGACTTTGAGTGCAGAAACACCAAATTGTAAAACCCTCTATGAAGACAACAGTTACGACGATGAGGACCAGTGGTCAGAAAGACAGGCAGCATTATGTATCCAAGGTCGATGGACATTTTCGTGGCGAGCTTGACTTCACTGTGCACTCAACAGAGCACAAATCAGCCTGATGACATTACTTTACGTGTCAGTTAAAAAACCTAAGTTTTGTGAAATCGAGCAGAACTTAAAGATGCCTCAATTTAACATCCTGCTGGCAAAAGAATAACGTTAGTTGTACAATAGCGTGTTTATCATGAATGCCGTCGCTGCTACAGTGCTGAGTTTTCACATACAGATACATATTTCTTTTTAGAATATCTTCTATTGTTTATTGGCGGTTGGCAGACTAGTTTATATTTAGAATATCTAATTTACAGAAGACATTTTAATACTTACACGTAACAACATGTTTCTATTGAGCAACCCTCACGCAAACCCTATTGACCCGGATGTGATATTCGGCAACTTGATAGTGAAGCCAGAGATGTAGAAAGTAACGTTTGCTGATCGCATATAAGCGAAGTGTCGTAAAATGAATTACACCTGTCGCAAAAGTTTTTTTTTTAATGTTATTATTTAATCTAGTTTGTTACCGTGCCAGGTCTCTCTGGTAAAAGAGAGTTTCGATCTCAACGGGACTTCCCGGTAGAATAAAACAAACTGGCACGTCTCTCCTTCAAACAGAAAACAGATCCCGACGCGTTTAGCTGACTTTGGAGTCTCCCCTTGCGGAGGGGCTCTTGTGAACAGGGTTGCCAGGTTTTCATAAGAAAAGCCGCCCAATCGCTACTCAAACTATACCAATCGCGTTTCGAGGGGGTTCCCAGTTGCACCTGTCGCAAAAGTTTTTTTTTTAATGTTATTATTTAATCTAGTTTGTTACCGTGCCAGGTCTCTCTGGTAAAAGAGAGTTTCGATCTCAACGGGACTTCCCGGTAGAATAAAACAAACTGGCACGTCTCTCCTTCAAACAGAAAACAGATCCCGACGCGTTTAGCTGACTTTGGAGTCTCCCCTTGCGGAGGGGCTCTTGTGAACAGGGTTGCCAGGTTTTCATAAGAAAAGCCGCCCAATCGCTACTCAAAACTATCCCAATCGCGTTTCGAGGGGGTTCCCAGTTAAAAATCGCATTCCAGGGGATACATATCATGTTATTGGAGACGCTTCAACCCGCGGACATGAAAAACAACCCGCGGCAACAGCGTTACAGTTGCCCATTGGAATTCCGTAGGAAAACCGCGGACTTGGCAACACTGGTTGTGAAGCACACTGTCGCAGACGCCAACGCTAGATGGCGCAATTCACCACAGACTCCGCTAGAACCGTTTGTGAAAGTAATGCAGTTTTAAAGTGAAAAATACTGTCTTATTAGTACGAATATTAAGTTATTAGCAATACTATGCATTAATAATGCATCTCACCCACCTAATCCACCACAACAAACACATATTCATTAATGTGTAAGTAAAACCTGAAGTTGTATCTCATTGTGTGAAACACCCCACATTCCCACGAGGAAAATGGCGTCATAAAAATACTAATGTTTGAACGAAAATGTTAAATGTAGATAGGTTTATTGAGAGGGTTCTGTGTAGAGAATAGAAAATATGATGAGCTTATTATAAAACAATACAAGTGAACAGGGTTCCTTCGGGTGGCATTTATTTGTATGTAGACCTATGTATGTATGTTTATTGCTTGCTTGCTTCCTTTTAATTCCCATTCATTCACAGGTGAAGAAGCACCATTTGAACAGGCATCCTCCTGCGCTGTCGGAGTTTTAAACCAGTCGTTGGTTTCGACTATAGGGGCGCAATTGAGTTTCTGCTAAGTCAGTCGTGTCTCGAGTCGACATTGTGGCAAACTTTCTCGGTCTGTCAGAAGACATGTCGAATAACAGCGCAAGCGGTTTGGTGAGCCTGCAGAAAAGCGTTAAGCAGCTGCGAAATGAAGCAGGAATCCGCAGAATTAAGGTGAGTAAAAGATAAAAAATACCCCAAAAGATTGGAAATCTTTGCTAACAGGGTGTGACTTGACTGACTTGTTGATCCTGTCCGAACATCCTGCTACTTTGTGTAATTATTGTACTGTTTTTAACATTTCCTCGATTCATGTGAGAGTTTTTACAACAATCCTCATGCAAGTGAAGCATAATACATAATGTTATCTGTTCGCCAGCTTTTATATTGTGGCAGGTTGCAATTACACTTCGTTTTCAGCAGCTGACAGCTTGCTTTTAATCGAATGCTAACACATGTTGTCATCCAACTTTAATATTTCAATACATGTGTGAGGTATATGATAATCGCAGTTCAATCAACATTGAACTGACTCCAAACTTTTCCTCGCGTATTTGATTTGAAACTCTCTCCAGGCAGTATCGCCAGACACTGATGTGACACAGTGGAGCTCTTTGATTGTGAGTGTGTGACACAGTGTCACATTTGTTGGCCGGAAAAATCCAAACCTATATTAGTTACTACTGCCCCCAAAACACACTATTTTAAAAACAACACGAGGCTTTGTGTGCTGTTATTGAATTTATCATGAATCAAATAAACAATGTAACTTCTGACCGCTGATTTCCAGGAATCTGTGATTGCCAATACAGTTTTTATTGCTCCACAAACATCTTTTATCTGTATGCATACATATACATGTCTACCTATGTGTTTATCTGTCCGTTTATATTTTATTTAATCACTCCTTCCCCCTAGGTTTCTCAAGCTGCGGCAGATCTGAAGACATTCTGCTTGCAAAATGCCCATAAGGACCCTCTCCTCATGGGGGTGCCATCAAGCGACAACCCCTTTCGACCACCCAAATCATGTGCGCTCTTCTGAGGTAGCAACGATAAGCTCAGTGTTACTTTTTTCTTTGAAATGTCCTGTTGGACAGGAATATAAACAGAAAAATGAATCTCTGTCTTTCTCTTCTCCCCAAAGGAGTCATGAAGAATTTGGAGAAACTTCTGAACATTCCTCATTTCACTACACAACCCTCAGATCCCCTTTACATTACAGCAGAGCTGGATCATCACTACTATTACACTAAATGGTTTAATTTGTAAGCTGCATTGTGACTTGATGTCTTTCACGTTCAGTGATGAGTTATGAAGAAAACCTCTGAAAAGTGATTTAAAAGCGTTTAATTTTTATACTGTTAAATAAGGACACGGTAGTGCAAAAATGTTACACTAGTAGGAGGAAATTTAAGTGTTCAGTTGGTCAAACAGTCCACTGGAAAAGTGATGGCAAATATGGAAAAAAAAAAAAAAAAAATTTGTACTGTGTAGCTAAGTTTGAATACCAGCCTACACAGAAAGATTGCAAAATGCTTTCTTGTTGTAATGTGTTGAGTTTAGGATGAAACACTGAATTTCTTTGTTTATTGATATAGTTAGGCTTATATACATGGACTGTTGTTGCCATGAAACTCATGTATTTAAGGTATTTAATTGTATTAACCACATAGCTCTATTGAAGGAGAGAGATGTCTTGAATCTCAGGTTCTTTTTGATAAAGATTGATGCCGTGTTTCTGATATAAATTCACTTTTCTAAATACTGAATGAGGTACTACTTTTTATTCAAATGTATTTTCTCCAATGTAGTGGGTAAAGGTTTCTGCATCATTTTGACATTTCTTAAATGTTATGCATTGGGTTTAACACAAGACATAAGTGCAGAATTATATATGTGTTTTTAGTGATATTTACTGGTGAAAAGGTGCTGCCTTGCCTGTTGTGCCTTTACTCTAAGAATTTGAACACCAAATGACTAGGAGCATATCAGATGGCCTGTTTTTGCATATACTCTACCCTTGCATGTTTATTTATCTCATTTTATATCTGTACTGTATCTTTATCAGTCAACCACTGGACATTCATGCAAATGTCATTTTTACTGCTGTCCTTCATTGTTAACATTTCAGTCTGTTTACATCATGTTTGTCTTACATTTTAGGTGATTATGTCTACAAGAGCAACGTCTGATTTGTTTGCAGCAAGATACATACCTTTCCTTACAAAACTGAATCAAGATGTCATTGAAAAGTAAATTAAAATGACAGAGCCTGAAAAGATTCTTACACTATTTGAACGAGATCCCAATTTAATTTTCTATGATTTTAACAATAAGAGCAACTATTATGCGGGAAACTACTATAACAGGGTTATCATTGTTAACTAATGCTAAAACTATCAAAACATTTTTTGTTAATTGAAATAAAGCCGAAAGAAAAAATACAAATATTAGATGAAAAACTTAAACTAAACGAAAATTAGAAATGTTGCCTTGGAAAATAAAATTGAAGTTGAACTATTAGAAATGTTGCCTTGGAAAATAAAGTTGAACTGGAAATAGAAAAAAACTGAGTTCTAGTAAAAATTCTAGAACATACTATAATTAAAATGAAAATATGAACATAAAAAGCTATTTCAAAATATTAATAAAAACGAATAGTATATCTCCACTTCAGTAGCACTAACATACACCAAACACCAAACCAAAAGTTTTATTCCTATCTATATTCTTAAGGTTTTCACAGAGGGATTTGTTCATATATTATTTTCGTGTGAGAGTTTTTACAACAATCCTCATGCAAGTGAAGCATAATACATAATGTTATCTGTTCGCCAGCTTTTATATTGTGGCAGGTTGCAATTACACTTCGTTTTCAGCAGCTGACAGCTTGCTTTTAATCGAATGCTAACACATGTTGTCATCCAACTTTAATATTTCAATACATGTGTGAGGTATATGATAATCGCAGTTCAATCAACATTGAACTGACTCCAAACTTTTCCTCGCGTATTTGATTTGAAACTCTCTCCAGGCAGTATCGCCAGACACTGATGTGACACAGTGGAGCTCTTTGATTGTGAGTGTGTGACACAGTGTCACATTTGTTGGCCGGAAAAATCCAAACCTATATTAGTTACTACTGCCCCCAAAACACACTATTTTAAAAACAACACGAGGCTTTGTGTGCTGTTATTGAATTTATCATGAATCAAATAAACAATGTAACTTCTGACCGCTGATTTCCAGGAATCTGTGATTGCCAATACAGTTTTTATTGCTCCACAAACATCTTTTATCTGTATGCATACATATACATGTCTACCTATGTGTTTATCTGTCCGTTTATATTTTATTTAATCACTCCTTCCCCCTAGGTTTCTCAAGCTGCGGCAGATCTGAAGACATTCTGCTTGCAAAATGCCCATAAGGACCCTCTCCTCATGGGGGTGCCATCAAGCGACAACCCCTTTCGACCACCCAAATCATGTGCGCTCTTCTGAGGTAGCAACGATAAGCTCAGTGTTACTTTTTTCTTTGAAATGTCCTGTTGGACAGGAATATAAACAGAAAAATGAATCTCTGTCTTTCTCTTCTCCCCAAAGGAGTCATGAAGAATTTGGAGAAACTTCTGAACATTCCTCATTTCACTACACAACCCTCAGATCCCCTTTACATTACAGCAGAGCTGGATCATCACTACTATTACACTAAATGGTTTAATTTGTAAGCTGCATTGTGACTTGATGTCTTTCACGTTCAGTGATGAGTTATGAAGAAAACCTCTGAAAAGTGATTTAAAAGCGTTTAATTTTTATACTGTTAAATAAGGACACGGTAGTGCAAAAATGTTACACTAGTAGGAGGAAATTTAAGTGTTCAGTTGGTCAAACAGTCCACTGGAAAAGTGATGGCAAATATGGAAAAAAAAAAAAAAAAAATTTGTACTGTGTAGCTAAGTTTGAATACCAGCCTACACAGAAAGATTGCAAAATGCTTTCTTGTTGTAATGTGTTGAGTTTAGGATGAAACACTGAATTTCTTTGTTTATTGATATAGTTAGGCTTATATACATGGACTGTTGTTGCCATGAAACTCATGTATTTAAGGTATTTAATTGTATTAACCACATAGCTCTATTGAAGGAGAGAGATGTCTTGAATCTCAGGTTCTTTTTGATAAAGATTGATGCCGTGTTTCTGATATAAATTCACTTTTCTAAATACTGAATGAGGTACTACTTTTTATTCAAATGTATTTTCTCCAATGTAGTGGGTAAAGGTTTCTGCATCATTTTGACATTTCTTAAATGTTATGCATTGGGTTTAACACAAGACATAAGTGCAGAATTATATATGTGTTTTTAGTGATATTTACTGGTGAAAAGGTGCTGCCTTGCCTGTTGTGCCTTTACTCTAAGAATTTGAACACCAAATGACTAGGAGCATATCAGATGGCCTGTTTTTGCATATACTCTACCCTTGCATGTTTATTTATCTCATTTTATATCTGTACTGTATCTTTATCAGTCAACCACTGGACATTCATGCAAATGTCATTTTTACTGCTGTCCTTCATTGTTAACATTTCAGTCTGTTTACATCATGTTTGTCTTACATTTTAGGTGATTATGTCTACAAGAGCAACGTCTGATTTGTTTGCAGCAAGATACATACCTTTCCTTACAAAACTGAATCAAGATGTCATTGAAAAGTAAATTAAAATGACAGAGCCTGAAAAGATTCTTACACTATTTGAACGAGATCCCAATTTAATTTTCTATGATTTTAACAATAAGAGCAACTATTATGCGGGAAACTACTATAACAGGGTTATCATTGTTAACTAATGCTAAAACTATCAAAACATTTTTTGTTAATTGAAATAAAGCCGAAAGAAAAAATACAAATATTAGATGAAAAACTTAAACTAAACGAAAATTAGTTGAACTGGAAATAGAAAAAAACTTAGTTCTAGTAAAAATTCTAGAACATACTATAATTAAAATGAAAATATGAACATAAAAAGCTATTTCAAAATATTAATAAAAACGAATAGTATATCTCCACTTCAGTAGCACTAACATACACCAAACACCAAACCAAAAGTTTTATTCCTATCTATATTCTTAAGGTTTTCACAGAGGGATTTGTTCATATATTATTCACCTGATTTATATAGCATTTAATATTCCTTTTTTAAGGTTATTATAAAAAACGTTTATCTCTTAATATGTCAACAAAATGAAAGACGTGAACGGGGCTTTAGCCTATCTAATATTCAGATTTCTGTTCTGAAAATGTAAATTAGTGTAGGCTACATTTAATTAGATAACAGCTTTAAAGAACATTTCAGAAAACGTGTAATACAAAACAACTGTCTTATTGTACTGTGATTAATCACAGCGGGAAGTATGGTGACGTCTAGGCCTTATTCACCTGTGGGGTCTTTTCTTCTTCACAGCCTACTGTACAATAAAGTTTTCAACCCACACATTTAATGTATTTATTAGTAAATGTATTCAAGATACACTTGCTTTTTCTTTGTAGCTCATATCATGTCTTGAAATTGAACGAGAGCTGGAAAAAAAGGAGATGTGGCCATGTGGAGGCAGTAGTAAGTCAGGCCTAGCTTGACCACTGACTCCAGGCGAGATCTGAGCCGCTGCCTGTCTTACTCTCCCCAGATCGAAGATGGCGGGGTCCGTGTTCTCAGGCGTGCGCCTCCTCTCCATCGGAGACGCCAACGGAGACATACAGCGACATTCAGAGCAGCAGCCTCTGCGACTAGAAATCAAAATCAACCAGGACGTGGCTCTCATAAGCCTCTCGAACAGTGAGTAGACGCTGGCTTTTAAACACTTTGAATCCGGCCTCAGTTGAGTGGTGTATCCTAGCTTAGCCTAGTGAGAGTGTGTGTGTGCGGCATGTGCGTCCGTTGCGCCGCCTGATCACCGGGACCGGCGGCTTTTGAGTTATGAGCTCAAATGCGGCCCATTCACCCCTGCATGCTTTCTAAAAGATGTCAAATTGCTGGAGCCATGGGCTTGGGTTCAACACGTATGCCACAAACCACGTTGATCGTAGCATGTTAGCATCCGTAAACACATCGTATTGTGTTATGATGCTTATATTAGTTACTACCCAGTTAATAACGCACGGCAGTCCAGCACTGAATGTATTCCCACAGATAGAAATATACATGCATGTCTTTGCATCCATGAGGTTTCTTTAAGGCTGTCCTCCAGACTTTTAGCAGGACCACAAGGAAGGGCTTTGGATAATGTGGATTGGCGCCTGTAAAGTTAGCCGCAGTCTGAACCTTCAGCCATACTATTGAGCTTCAGAAAGTGTTATAGAAACGTCTTTGTTTTGTACTGGGTTTTATTTGCGTAAACATTTGATTTGTCTGTTGATATCGTGTTAACCTGGTTGGTTGATGGGCTGAATGGATGCTGAGCTCAGTTTTGATTGATTGCGCGCAGTTCCGCGCCGCCTCTCTACTATTACTATGCTGTACTTTACTTTACCATAAGACAGCCCGGTTTCTTTTTCTCAAAGTGCAGAAAGCATTGCTAAAGTAATGTGGAATTACGCGGAGGTTTCTTGTGGCAGCACCGTTTGGACATTCATCTTTGTTCTGCGGGGAACAATAGCGGGTCCCCCGCCTCCTTTTCTCCAGGGTCCCGCCTGTTCATTCAGTGCTCAGGGCTTTTGTTTGGAGCCTCACGCTGGCGATGTCCCGTGCATGAGATGAATGTCTTACTGAAACAGATGCGCTACCCACATCGCATAGATTTCTTTTGAGAAGTTTTTATTGCTCGAGCCCCAAATGCCACATCATTTACCATTTTTTCGTCGAAAGCCCAAGTTTATTAAGTGTAATTCATATTAGTTTGTGGCAGAGTGGTATTTTGCACGTTTTAATACCAGAGCCTGCTCTCAGATAATTATTGTTGTGTAAACATCAAGAGCTAGCAAAGGTGCTAAACTTAGTTTTGCTTTTTACAAATAAATGAACACTTAATGGAAATATTTAAACAGTTTACACTGTTAAAAATGAGTACCAGTTTGTTTAATTCTACATGGAGCGGGTCGCCCCCTTATGTGTCCTGCATTGTTGACGTCACATGGCCGACCTTCTTGTGCAGTTGACAAGGTTGCTAATGACTGCAATAGTAGTAGTAGTAGTAATAATAACTGTCTTTACTGTATGAATGCTCACAGAAAACCTTCTGCATTTTTACAATTTCAAAAGTAAAAAAAAAACGTTTACTTTATTTTTTTTAACAGTTTTACAAATGAGGACATCCACAAATTGAGGTTTTTGTCGTTTGTCAGGTTTTGCTCACTTTTGTGTACAAATGTTTCCCCAAAATATAGTTAAGTAGGCACACACACACACACACACTCACACACACACACACACACACACACACAGGTTACGTCACTTGCCCACCGCGTCACCGACCCCCACCGTCGTTTTGATTTTTTATAGTAATGCAAATCATTTAGTTCAGTAAAAGAACAGACACTTAAAAACTGAACGTTCTACGTCTAAACGCACATATCCGATTCTCCACAGACACGTTTGCTCGTAAAGATTTTTAATGGCGTTTTAATGCTAGCGTGCTGTATGCGCTCGCATTTTATTGAGAGGGAAACTTTTTATAGGTAAGAAATTGCACATTCAGGAGCTGGTTTTCAACCCCGCCCCGTGAATTTTGAAAATACAACAGCTAAAAGCTACTTATATTTTTCAGCAGTGAGGTGATAACTTAGCAGTTTTTGTAATTAAACCGACAAGCTTGTTTGCAATGCTTCACAATCGCTCTTTCGCACGTGGGTGCATGCATTCGTTCTCTCTCTCTCTCTCTCTCTCTCCTTCGAATTCATTTAAATAAATATCATCTTTATTTCACTAAACAATTCTACCTCTAACGAGCTGTAGATAAAATAGTCTAACAAATTAAAATTACTGTTATTTTCCGGTCTTTATCCGTTCAGTCAGGTTTTGTACTGCAAAACATCCATGACTGCCGTTGTCCATGCTGGCAAATAATAATGGCCATTCGACGTGAATTATATACATAATTTTAAAAGCACGGCCATTTAAAACCCGAGGGTCTTCCATGTGCATATAAAGCGATCACTGCAGACAATCCTTTTGGGTGGGAATTAATGTAAACACAGATATCGGATACCAGTCGTGTCTAAAGTGAATGTAAACAGACGTGCCAACAAATCGGATATGGTCAAAAGATCGGATCTGTGCATTAAGACTTGCTATCAAGTAAAGCGACGGCGAGTCGTGCGCCTTCACACTAGTTTACGGTACGTCAAATGCAGGTGTGCTGTGTGCTACATACTGCGCATCTATTAACTACATGACATGATCCATTGAGCGCATCCAAATAGTACAGATCGCTTGACGGAGAGCGAAACTCTCAAGCGCTCAGTAAGCGTGTTTATCGAGTGATAATCTGTGTTGAACGCCTCTCACACACATACTGGCCTGTAAAATCTAACAATTTATTAGCCAATGGCTAATGTTAGACATTATTTAGTCGCCCAGAGTAAGATTTAGTCACATATGCGAGTGATTTACTCGCAATGTAGAGGGTTGAAATCACAAAAAAAGTAAAGTCTCAAATCCAAAGAGATATTCTTTATAAAAGTTAAGAGTCAGCCACACCTACCTAAAACGGCTCGTTCTAACACGCCCCCACATGTCTACATCATGATGTGGGAAGATTTGCATAACGCTGCCCAAATGTTCACGCAAAGAAAGAAGGCTTAACTTTTATTCTTGCTGTAGTATTGTTGCTGCCGCCGCCATGTCGTGAAGACGCTGTGTGTTTCGTTGTGAAAGCGAAACTACTTTGGTTGGGCTTCCAAAAGAGGACGATATCCGCTTCGTCATGCCTAGAGCTGATCCGTGCTGGTCGCTGAGAAAATGCATCAACTTCGTGCTGTGGATCGCCGGATCGGCTTTCACCGTGAACGAAGCGGAGTCCAGCCCGGGGTCATAACATATGGTTGCCGCTCCTTCGTCAAATCCGCTCACTCAAGCCCGCCGGCCTCCGCTCACTCAAGCCCGCCGTGTGTGACGCTGTGTGTTTCGTTGTGAAAGCGAAACTACTTTGTTTGGCCTTCCAAAAGAGGACACGACTAAAAATCGATGCGTTTCAGAAAGGCGGGGCATAGAGGACAAAAAATTATGTACAGTATGTGGAAAATAACGTTTTTTTTAACCTTAAACCGCATAAACATGTTTCATTACACCACATACACAAAATACTGTTCTTTTTAGCAACATCATATGACCCCTTTAAGTAAATGTTCATCATTTGTTCGCCTGTTGCTTTTAAAGGCATCATGTATTCTTTGTTGCAGCATTAAGTTACACTTACCCACCCACATTTTTATTATTATTTTTTTTTTGCTTCCGACACCCATGCAAGCGTCACTCTAAAGCTCAGATTGTCATGGCCTTATTCCCCTGCCCTCGTTTTAGAGGTGTTTGCTTGAGCTGCTGTAGAGACTTACTTGTTTTCAACTCAATTATATAAATGAATACCAGCCTAATCTGTCTATGGAAAGCTTGACCTAATCCTGCAACAGCTGGACAAATAGATGACAAAATCCCTCATCCTGGCATCACAGCTTACTTTTGCAGTGGTTAGAAGGTTTTTGAACCGGTCTAGTTTAGTTTGATTTGCTTTTTTGTTTAGGTGGTAGTAACCTTTAAGGACCGAGCATAATTCGTTAATTTCTCCTGTCCCATTTTAAAGCAATAGTTCACATAAAATTGAACATTTTGTCATCACTTACGGTACCTCATGTCATTCCAAACCTGACTTTTAATTTTTTTGTTGTGCACAAATGTTTATAAAGAATGTCTTTTTTGTGCATATAATGCAAGTCAACGGGGTCCAGTGTTGTTTTGGACCCCACTGACTTCCATTGTATGGACAAAAACTGTTGAAACATTCTTTAAAAGTAAGTAATTTATTCAGTTTTTCTTCAATGAAAATAGTAAACAATGGGATAATATCAGAACACTGATCTGTTTTAGGGTGAGGCATATTTACCTCCATGCATTTGCTTTCCTCCACAGATGAGGAGACGTGTGTCTTTAAGTGTTCAGTATCACGAGAGACAGAATGCAGTCGTGTTGGGAAGCAGTCCTTCATCATTACTCTGGGCTGTAACAGTGTCCTCCTGCAGTTTGCATCTCCAGCAGGTAAAACTCACCACCTTTTATGAGCACATCAGGCTTTATGGCAATTTAGCAGTTCGCTGAGAGACATTCAGACAAGCGAAGCATATTTTGATATTTTCACTCCATTAGGACTCTTTTCAGTTTCACTCTTTTCACTTTTCAGTTGACTCTTAGGAAAACGAAGTGAAACAAGTTTTAGTTTTAGAATTTTAATAAAAGATAAATCTGTAATTTTCCCCCCTTTTCTCGCCATGACTATAGCCATGTTAGCTGGCATGCCATTAACCATAAACAAACAAACATTCAGATAAGCACAGCAGCAGTCAGTCATTGTGTTGTGGGCAAACCTGAATGAAGGGATGGTGCTGTGAAGCTTGTAATCTCTTGATGTGTTCCGTGGTGTTGTGTTTGCCAGATTTCTCGTCATTCTATAACCTCCTGAAGAATTGTCGTGGACATGGGGGTGAACACTCGGTCTTCAGTGATAGGACGGAGGAGTCCTCAGCTGTACAGTATTTCCAGGTGTGTTTGGCTTCTAATTAACATGCATAAACAAAACACATTGTCATTTGTTGAACCCATTTTATTCCTGGTTTACAACCGTAAGAGGTATTTTTAAATACGTTTTAAAAGGTATCCAGGCTAGCCTTTATTTCTAATGGATAAATTTGACTTGTAGCGTCAACAAAAGAGGCATGATATGAATGTCCGCTTTTTTTTTTCTTTTTTTTCTTTCTTCAGTTTTATGGCTACCTCTCTCAGCAACAAAATATGATGCAGGATTATGTGCGAACTGGAACATATCAACGGGCCATCCTCCAGAATCATACTGACTTCAAGGATAAAGTACTGTTATTTCTTCTGTCGATGCATCTGTTACTGTATAGATAGCATAGATTTGAGTAGTTTCAGAATTGCTGAAGCATTTGGCATTGTGACCTTGACTTTTAGCTTTGATGTTGTCCAGAACAAAACATCTCAAACTGGAACAGTTGACTAATTACAACTAAGTGAAAATGGACATTTGAGTCCACTTCATTTAAAACGGCTATTCCTTATGAATGCATCTCTGAATTAACTACTATTAAATTAAACCTGTAGTTTGGACCTGGTTGTGTCAAATCATGTGATACTTGTTCTCATTCTTCCTTGTCCGTCCTTTTCGCCTTAGGTGATTCTGGATGTAGGTTGTGGCTCTGGGATTCTGTCATTTTTCGCAGCTCAGGCTGGTGCCCGTAAAGTTTATGCTGTGGAGGCCAGTACCATGGCTCAACATGCAGAGGTATGACCGATTCCTCAATCACTAACATGCAGTACTGTTCAAAGATTTGGGATCAATAAGATTTTTTCAAATGTTTTTGAAAGACATCTCTTCTGCTCACCAAGGCTGCATTTATTTGATCAAACAAACTGTAAAAACAGTAATATTGTTAAATATTATTACAATTTAAATGTCTGTTTTCTGTTTGGATATATTTTAAAATGTAATTTCTGTGATGACACAGCTGAATTTTCATAATCATTACTCCAGGCTTCAGTGTCACATGATCCTTTAGAAATCATTCTAATATGATCATTTGTAGCTTTTCTTATTTTTATCAGTGTTGAAAACCGTTGTGCTGCCTAATATTGCCCAAACCTTTGAATGGTAGTGTATATTTCACATGTGTAGTCACATTTAATCATTTATAAATATACAAGTAATTGAGTGACGTGGGATATCTGTACCAAAAATGTATTAATTGATAGTAAAATTTTATTATATACAATTTTGGAGTATTGTTTAATCCTCTCCTGAGGACCTGAATGCTTGACAATTTAGATTTAGTATTGATACCAAGAAGCTGGTATTGTACCAAATGCAGAATTTCATAATAAGATGGCTTTTGGCATTGGCTAATTGAAAGTCATGTTAAGTAGTAGTAATACTAATAATTGTGTGTCCACAGGTTCTTGTGAACAGTAACAGGCTGTCAGAACGTGTTTTGGTGATTCCTGGTAAAGTGGAGGAAGTGACCCTACCCGAGCAGGTGGACATAATTATCTCTGAACCCATGGGCTACATGCTGTTCAACGAAAGGATGCTGGAGAGCTACCTGCATGCCAAGAAGTTCCTCAAGCCCAACGGTAAAAAGGTTGTTTCAATAAAAATAACCAGACAAAGGCAGGCTGACATACAGTGCCCTCCATTAATATTGGCACCCTTGGTAAATATGAGCAAAGGCGGCTGTGAAAATAAATCTGCATTGTTTATCTTTTTGATCGTTCATTCAAAAAATGCACAAAATTCTAACCTTTCATTGAAGTAAAACAATTGAAAGTGAAGGAGATACTCATATCATGAAATAAATGTTTTTCTCTAATACACGTTGGCCACAAATATTGGCACCCCTAGAAATTCTTCAGAGTAAAATTTCTCTGAAGTATATTCCCATTTATAATTAAAAACATTTTAGCACACCAGGGTGACTAGGAGCATGAGATTGTCCAGCCTTGACTTCCATCTTTAATGTTGTGGGCCTATTTTTCTGCTGGAGGTCCTGGACATCTTGTTCAGATACATGGCATCATGGATTCGATCAAATACAAACGGATACAAAATCTAAACCTGACTGCCTCAATTAGAAATCTTACAATGGGCCATGGTTAGATCTTCCATCAGGACAATGATCCAAAACAAACATCAAAATCAACACAAAAATGTGTCACTGAGCACAAAATGAAGCTTCTGCCATAGCCGTCCCAGTTACCCGACCTGAACCCTATAGAAAATGAGTGGGGTGAACTGAAGAGAAGAAGCGCCAACATGGAGCTGGGAATTTGAAGGATCTGAAGAGATTCTGGATGAAGGAATGGTCTCTGATCTCTTGTCAGGTGTTTTCCAAACTCATCAGGTGGTGCAGGAGAAAACTCGGAGCTGTTATCTTGGGAAAAGGACGTTGCAATAATTGGGTGCCAATAATTGTGGCCAATGTGAACTGGAGAAAAACATTTCATAATGAGATTTCCTCCCACTTTCGATTGTTTTACTTAAATGATAGGTTAGAATTTTGTAAAAATTTTTGAATGAAAGATCAAAAGGATAAACCACCTTTTACCAAGGTTGCCGATATTAGTGGAGGGCACTGTATACATAGTGTATCAATATTTGTACATAACAGACCTCTGTTCTCTTTACAGGCAAAATGTTTCCCACCATTGGAGACGTGCACCTCGCCCCTTTCACAGATGAGCAGCTTTACATGGAGCAGTTTACAAAGGCCAATTTCTGGTGTGTTTTCTAAAATGAGAATAAGGACATTGGGTGGGGGGAGAGTTCAGATGCAGATGTCAAATAATAGTCTCAAAGTGTAAATAAACGGACAGTAATTTAAGACTGTAGCAGATGACTAACACATAACTCTGGATCATTTCTTTTGTGCTTATACTTACAAAACTGATTCTTTCAGGTACCAGCCATCTTTCCATGGGGTGGATCTGTCTGCGCTGAGAGGAGCTGCAGTAGATGAATACTTCAGACAGCCGATTGTGGTGAGAAATGGGAGGGAATGGCTGGCGGATTGGCTGTGTGCAAGTTAATTCATAAATACCTGCTAGCTTTTTAGAGTTAGCCACAGCTTGGAACATTCACTGAAGTAGGTGGGAAGGTAACTGGAGATTTGTCTCCTCACTGGTTATAGATGAGCGCTGAGGGCTTGGGGGTAAATAGGGACAGGATTGGGTTACTTACTTAAGCCTAAATGAGAACAGTGAGGATGTTTCTGGGAAATGGAGAAAGGCAGCATGTTTCATGGATTAGGAAAATAGATTCAGTGGCAGTTTCATATAGGAGACTCAAGTGAAGCATGTATGCTCGCCCTTGTGCCCGTGATGAAAGGCTTTACTTCGTGGTCAGGGTTTCTGAGCTCACGGTTTGTGTGGTCAGAGGGTATTCAATGAATTTAGATCTATCAAGGAAGGTTTATGAAGCACGTCTTTGTGTACAAGTACTCTACATGTGAAATTTTGTATCTTGATTTTCATCTAGGATCCACAGTGTTTTGAAATCCATCAGAGCTACTTTTTCCACTTACGTGCACTCGAGAAGCCAATTAAAGGGGTCATATGATGTTGCTAAAAAGAACATTGTTGTGTATTTGGTGTAATGCAATGCGTTTATGCGGTTTAAGGTTCAAAAAACACATTATTTTCCACATACTGTACATTATTGTTGCTCCTCAATGCCTATGACTTTCTGAAACGCGTCGATTTTTACAAAGCTCATCGTTCTGAAAAGTGAGATGTACGCTGATTGGCCAGCTATCAGGTGCGTTGTGATTGGCCGAATACCTCAAGCGTGTGATGAAAATGTTACGCCCCTTACCATACTGTGATGCCGTGTCCGGCCGGAGTGACGAGACAAAACCAATAAAACCCATTATAAACGAGGCATTTGTTGCATCCAGTGGGGACATAATTACTGATTATAATGACTTGTACTGTGTTTTTACGCGTTGCGTATCGTGCCGCATAAACATAAAACCATGTCTGCATTTGTGATCGGAGAAATGACAAACAACAAGCGCTACTCTACACTGCTCAAAACTCGCGTTTGAATCATCAGTGGGAAATCCTTTAAATACAAAAAATGTACTTGCAGTCTGTGAGTCAGAAGCGCCAGACTGTCCTCGCAAAGTTGGAACTGCCCCACTTTATAGAACAGCCTTTGAGCACAGACCCATTGTAGGCTACTCTGCAGGTTCAGGAAACAGTCCTCCATAAAATGCGTCACACACTGCGGACTTGAGTGAGGAGCGGCCGGCGGTCTAGAGTGAGTGGAGGCCGGCGGACTTGAGAACGGCGCGGCCGGCGGATTTGACTTAAGGAGCATCCGGCAGGCTTGCAGCAACCACATGTGACAACCCCGGGCTGGACTCCGCTTCATCCACGGTGAAAGCCGATCTGGCGATCCACAGCGCGAAGTTGATGTATTTCCTCAGCGACCAGCACGGATCAGCTCTAGGCATGACGAAGCGGATATCGTCCTCTTTTGGAAGCCCAACCAAAGTAGTTTCGCTTTCACAACGAAACACAGCATCTCCACAACATGGCGGCGGCGGCGGCAACAACAATACTACAGCGAGAATAAAAGTTACGCCTTCTTTCTTTGCGTATATACTGTGTCTTTGCAACTTTACAGATCTTCTTTATGCACCAAGAGCTTGTAACACTCCAAAGAGAAAGGAAAAATGTAAATCGTATCATATGACCCCTTTAAGTTGTCGATTATGCACTTGATTTTTCAGTCCACAGATTCAGACATCATAATTGTAGTTTACAGTCAGTGTGTGTGGTTTATGTCCAGCAGTAGTCAGCTGTTCAGGCATATGCTATTCCTGTAATGGTGTTACACTGCTGGGACAGTGACCTGCTGTGGTCTGGCTCCAGAGGGCGCTGTTGTAGCATCCTTCAGAGTTCAGGCTGAGGCGGGAGAGTTTTAAATCTTGTGCAATATATTTTTTACTTGCGTTTTTTAATTTTGTTTTCATGCTTGTTCTTTTTTTATCCATGACTGCAATACTTTAGGCGGGATTCTGATCCCATAAGAGCCCTCTGAGCTAGGACTGAGTCTGATTAACTGGCTCAGCCCTTGACAAGAGGCCTCACAGCACGTCAGTTTGTTATTCAAATTGCTTCATCCTCTTCTTACCTGGATACCTGCCTTTTCTCATTTATTCTGTCATTTCTTGCAGGACACTTTTGATATCAGGATCCTGATGGCCAAATCAGTGAAATATACAGTGAACTTTTTAGAAGCTAAAGAAGAGGATCTTTACAAGTATGATTTCACTAAATGCGTAATTTTATTGTGTTTAAATGTAGCCTTTTGATATATGGGAAATGTACAAATTGAAGTCTGTCAGCTCACATTTTTATATATCCTTTTCTTACTTGTTCCAGGATAGAAATCCCCTTTAAATTCCACATGATGCATTCAGGGCTTGTACATGGGCTGGCTTTTTGGTTTGATGTCGCATTCATTGGATCAGCGTAAGTTCCAACATATTCTATTCAAAGTGTTTTCACACTTGAGTCCTCTCTCACAGAGCCAAATTCAGACTATTTTAAATCAATTAAAATGTGAACTAAGTGAAAGAACCTGTTTTTCTGTGCTTGTTTTGTGATTCTGATTAAATGTCGCTTATATAGGGCGCTTTCCCGCCACCTGCCATTGGCTATTGCGATGCAATGGTGTTAAGTGAATAAGGCTTCAGTATTTGAGGAGAAAGGTGTTTCCCCCAAGCGATCAGCTTACACTTTACACAACATCTTGTTCCCTTCTCAGGGAACTGAGGTTACGCCAGTAACCAGAGATGTTTTCTGTGCATTCACTCTGTCACTGGTGTGCTTAGATCAGATCGATCTTACTGTTTTTTTTTTATTTTTTATGTTGAACCATTTGAATGCCTAATGGTTAGAGTCGGACTTGTAACCCGAAGGTTGTAGGTTTGAGTCTCAAGTCCGGCAGGAATTGTCGGTGGAGGGAGTGAATAACCAGCACTCTCTTCCACCCTCAATACCACGACTGCGGTGAAACCCTTGAGCAAGACACCGAACCCCCAACTGCTCCCGGGCGCCGCAGCAATATGGTTGCCCACTGCTCCGGGTGTGTGTTCACTGTGTGTGTTCACTCCTGTGTGTGTGCACTTGGATGGGTTAAATGCAGAGCACAAAAAAAAAAAGAGTATGGGACACCATACTTGGCCACGCTTCACTTCATGTTTTATTATTTTATATTATTATTAATAATAATGCTATTAATGCTGACATAAATGTAAGAATATATAATGTATTATTATTATTATTATTATTACCAAATTCAGACCACATTAAATTGACCAAAACATGAAACAAGTCAAAGAAATCAGGTTCTCTTTGCATTCACACTGGTGTGCTCAGATCTGATTGTGGTCCATTTCGATCTATATTTTTTTTTTATTCATTTATTTGAAGATGTTTTTTTGTTTTTTTTCCCGTAATAATTTTGTCACAATGCAAATTATAAGATGACTGTCAGGTTGTTTTGGGGGTTCAGTTGTTTTTTAAAAGTTTGTTTAGTTTGGTGATTTTTGGTAAATTTTGTCCTGAATTTTTGTGGACCACTGAAATAAACCAAGTTACCATTATTAATTTTTTTAATTCATATTGTCAGATTTAAAACAATACTTTTGTAGACCCCTTGAAATTAATCAAGTTACCATTATTTTTTTATGCATATTTTATTGTCAGATTTTAAAAATACTTGTAAGTGATTCTTGAATGATGACTCTTATTAAATAATTGGTATGTGGACTATAAGCATATACAGGGACATGTGAAAGTTTGGGAACCCCTTGCAGAATCTGTGAAAATGTGAATAATTTTAACAAAATAAGAGAGATCATACAAAATGCATGTTATTTTTTATTTAGTACTGTCCTGAGTAAGATATTTTACATAAAAGATGTTTACATATAGTCCACAAGACAAAAAAATAGCTGAAATTATAAAAATAACCCCCTTCAAAATTTTGGGAACCCATGGTTCTTAATACTGTGTGTGGTTACCTGGATGATCTACCACTGTTTTCTGTTTTGTGATGGTTGTTCATGAGTCCCTTGTTTGTTCTGAACAGTTAAACTGAGCACTGTTCCTCAGAAAAATCCTCCATGTCCTGCAGATTCTTCAGTTTTCCAGCATCTTTTGCATATTTGAACCCTTTCCAGCAGTGACTGTATGATTTTGAGATCCATCTTTTCACACGGAGGACTATTGAGGGACTCAAACACAACTGTTAAAAAAGGTTCAAACATTCACTGATGCTCCAGAAGGAAACACGATGCATTAAGAGCCAGGGGGGGAAAACTTTTTGAATTTGAAGATCAAGGTAAATTGTACTTTGTCTTCCGGGAAACATGCAAGTATCTTCTGTTGCTTCCGAAGGGCAGTACTAAATGGGAAAAATTATATTTCGGCAAAATAAGACAAATTAGGACATCTTCATCCTATTCAAAAGTTTTCTCTTAATGCATCGTGTTTCCTTCTGGAGCATCAGTGAATGTTTGAACCTTTTTTTAATAGTTGTGTTTGAGTCCCTCAATTGTCCTCCGTGTGAAAAGATGGATACTCAGGACAGTACTAAATAAAAAAAATAACAGGCATTTTGCATGATCTCTCTTATTTTGTTAAAATTATTCACATTTTCACAGATTCTGCAAGGGGTTCCCGAACTTTCGCATGCCACTGTATCAGTTCAAATGTTGTCATTCCACGAAATTCAATTTTATTAACTCAAGTAGATGTGTGATAATTTATATTCATTTCCTCCTGATTATAACCGTTTTCAACAAATGGGAATATGGTCATAATTTTAAAACTTTTTGAATACTTGGATATGAGGGAACTATTTGAATGTTTTGCAATCGGAACATTTTGACAGGTATGCTCTTGTGCTGTGTCTCTCTGAACAGGATGACGGTGTGGCTCTCCACGGCCCCCACAGAACCCCTCACTCACTGGTACCAGGTGCGCTGTCTGCTGCAGTCACCTCTCTTTGCCAAGGCAGGGGACACAATGTCAGGCACTGCACTTTTAATCGCCAACAAGAGGTGAGCACCCACAATGCTTTGTGTTTTAACCCTCAGGCTGTTTCGCTTTTGACTTCTCGTGGTCTCATTTGTTTCCACTTCCTCTCACAGACAAAGCTATGACATTAGTATTGTTGCTCAAGTAGACCAGACAGGCTCCAAGTCCAGTAATCTACTTGATCTCAAGAACCCATTCTTCCGGTGAGAGGATGCATTGCTTTGAAAAGCAATAAGGAATGTCTGAATGGTGTGTTGATTATGCTATGCTGTGTTCTGCAGGTACACGGGCACAACACCCGCCCCACCTCCAGGTTCACACTATTCCTCCCCCTCAGAGAATATGTGGAACACTGGGGGAACTTACAACATGAGCCAAGGCATGGCTGTGTCGGGTACATGACCAGGAAGACCCTTATAAAATCATTCCTCTTTTTAGATCTATATCAGCTGACGTTCCTCCCATCCGGCTGCTATTGCATAACTGGAGTGATGCCACTAATATTTTATTCTGTCTGTGTTTGTCAGGGATGCCTACAGCCTATGATCTCAGCACTGTCATTGGCGGCAGTGGGACTACAGTGTCCCACAACAATCTCATCCCCATTGGTACAGACACGCATGCACGTATGGATATTTACACACACACTCACACATACACACAATTGAGGAGTGAAATTGGCTCTGGTGTTTTTTTTTTTTTAAGGTGGTCATTCACCCATAAATGAGAATTGTATCATCAGTTAATCACTCTTATGTCTTTCCAAATCCATAAGACTTTAGTTCATCTTTGAGACACAAATGAAGTTGCTGTTTTTTGTTATTGTTTTTTTTCTGTCAATCTGCTGGTAGTCCACTCAACCAAAAAAAGTTCAAAAAGACATTGTATAAGTAATCCATAAGCTCAGACCTCATTGCTTTATATATTTCAAGCAAGCACGTTTCTTTGAGCTTCAGTGTTTACCCTATTTTAGCTTTATGTGTGTGTGATGATCAATGTTTATTTATGAATAAAGGTGTAAATTAAATCGGTTTCATGTAAAGTGATTGTATCTTCATTTGGAAGATTGGTATGGATTACTTGATTCGTATGGACTACTTTTACGAAGTCTTTTTGTACTTTGAAAAGCCACACAACCAAAACTTTGATGCTTCAATGAATAGGCAAAATGATGTGAGAATATTAATATCTTCATTTGTGTTTCAAAGATGAATGGGAATCATACAGATTTGGAACATCATGAGGGCGAGTAAATTCATTTTTGGGTGCACTATCCCTTTAAGTACTAAAAAAAAAGTTTATCATTTCAAAGGGGCCACATCATGAAGGATCAAATATTTTGATCTTTAACTTTTGATCTTTTCAGATAAGAGCTTGATGTTATAATGAAAAAATACTGTAACTTGCAGAACTCATCACCTCCCCTGTCCAAATAGACCTTCTATTAAAGCTAAACTCCTAAAATGGCCCATTCTGAATTTTCTGACATCAGAAAACACAATCATCCATGTGTACTCATCAGTGATGACTATTGGGTGACCAGAAACTTAACAGTGTGGTAGAGTATCACTTAATGTGGTAAGTGATGCTTTTCCCATGTGAAAAGGGTAATTGCATATAGATGTATTAAAGGTGCAGCAGCAGCAAAAAAAAAATATTGTTACATTTTGAAGGTCGGGGAGAGAGTAGAATATGGCCATGACCAAAATGTCAAGTCAAAATTATGTTTTGGTGCAAAAAACATTTATGATTGTATCTTAGGGGGAAAAAAATGTGTATGATATGGCCCCTTTAATGCATACTACATAATTATTTTAATATCTCTTCTAATGTCCTTTATAGTATAATTAATAATTGTCTATTGTTATTGAAAGGTTTTCTACACAACAGAACTACAGTTCTAGGTTATATCACAGCCTTTTTCCTTTAGCTTCGTGTCAAATATTCATGTTTTTCATGTATATCAGATTTTGTTCTTGTGTAAATTGAAAATAGATGTCGATTTTTTTATTTTTATTTTTTTTCCTCCAGTGAACACGGGGATTGTGAATCACACTCACTCCAGAATGGGTTCTATAATGAGCACCGGAATCGTCCAGGGTGAGTGTCTCTGCTCTTATTGTTTTCACAGAGTAAAACAGGGCCTGGACTCTTACAGATAAATTGATATTCCTTCCAAAAATTAAAATGCTCTCATATTTACTCACCATCATGTTGTATCAAATGGAAAAAATAAGGATATTGTTCATCTTCAAAACACAAATGAAGATATTTTTCATATTCTCTCATCATTTTTGTCCAGACATTGAAAGTCTACACTTTACAAAATTTTCATGCATAAAAAATTACGTAGACAAAGTAACTTTTCATAAAAGCTTTTATTCATATGTAAACAGTGATCATTCATACATTCATGTAAAACACCCGCGCCTCGTTTTGATTTTGAAACGTGCAGTGCTCATGTTTATTCAACAAAGTCAAAGCCTTTTGGAAGATTTATTTGTGGCAGTCAGTTTTGATATTGTGGCGGGCCGCCACAAATAAATCAATGTATGGGAAACACTGAACATTGTCATGGTTTTAAAGTGTGAAGGTGTTTAATGTCGTGTTGCACTGAACATTTGTGCTTGGTGTGATATGAATAGGCCTTTACAGTACTGGTAGTGTGTGCTGAGTGCCTGCAGATTGATACCATGTGAATAGTCTCATTAAATTCATTCTCAAACCATGAGTGTTGTATTTTCGAGGTGACGTGTTAAGTAAAAAAATAAAAGGTTCCACCTCAAACATTTTTCGCTCTCTTCCAGCCTCTCCATTTAGTTGTTTATAAAGAGTCTTACATAAAGCTGATTAGGGTGAAGTGAACCTGAAACCAGGCTAATTATACAAATTCTTTGACTGCTTATTAGTTGACTAATTAATAAAAAAATAGTTTGAACATTCCTAATGGTGATTGTTCTTTGATTTGATCGCTTAAGCCCAAAGTATACTTCAGTTGTCACACATACAGCCAAAAGCACAGCTTTTCAAAATATACTCCATTTGATCGCGTGTAAACACAGGCACTGACACATGCCCACTAGAATGTTTCCACCTTGTGGATAAACTTAGTAGTACCAAAAAAATTGTCACACACACTCTACAAGTATCACGGCTTAAAAACACACGTAAAAAGAAGACAGCTGAAAAACACACAAAGCATACTTTTAACTTTAACATCTTAATAACCACATGTTCATAAATACAAAGGCTGTAATGTTGCTTTTATCTCCTCTCAGGGGCTACAACTGCCCAGCAGGGTCCCAGCAGCAGTAGTCCTTATTACCCCGTCACCAACCAGTTCACCATGGGTGGCCCGGCTATCTCCATGGCATCTCCTATGGCCATCCCCAGCAACACCATGCACTACGGGAGCTAAGGCCAAGGGACGGCCTCTGCATGTCCAATTACCCCCCACCTCACCCCACCCTACCCCTGCAAACTGACTACAGCCAAATTCAGAATACCAAAACCAGTGCACCAGTCTGGATATCACTTTATTCTCGCTCGCTCTATATATAGATATACATGTATACATATATTTATATATATATATATATATATATGTATATATTCTAAACTGTTTCTTTCACTGGTGTTTTATTCTTACATATCCGTCCCGCGGCCCTATAATGTCAGCGCGTGCAGGCATTCGGCCAGTTCAAAACATCGGAGGTGTATCATTGTTACTCTTTCCTCCCATCCTAAACACACAGCACCTGCTCCACAACCAGCCACTAGGAGGCAGCACTTGTCTGTAAGCATGCTGAAAAAGCACAAACCAGAGATTCAAGACTCAATGTAAAAAGGACTTGTTCGGAAGAACTCTGACGATGGGACACATTTTGATTTTTTTAGATGTGCACACGTTCCCCCTTACTTAATGAATTCCCACTTTTTTTTTTAGCCGCATAAATGCCATCATTGACTATTGAAATGAATTCAAGATCTTTTGCAGGATCCTGCCACTGTTCCTAACAACTCCAGCTCAGTTGTACCTACACTTCACCATCGGCTTTTTTACGTTTGCAGTGATATCAACCGGCTATCACATCTCGATTCACTCAGCATGGGCTTTTGATGGCCATCTCAACTCACCTAGATGTTCGCAACCTCTCATCACTCTCCTGAAGCGACGGACACATTCTGTAAATGCTCACCAAGTTCATTACAACTACTAGCACAGTACCGCTGGATCCTGCCTGTATACAACCATTGTGTAGATATAGAGGTCATCTTACTTTTCATTCCATTTCTGACTGTGTTAGTGCAGTCCCAGATTTATGTGTCCCTTGGTGTTCCCTGAGGTGAATTCTGAGTGTGGATTATCAAAACTGCTGCTGTCGACCTCCGACTTCAACATGACGCAAATCTGACTTATAAATTGGCGCATTCATTTTTAGTCAATTATAAGGACCTTAAAGGACACACAGGTTTTAGGAATAAAAATGCCAGCTCCAAAACCCTCCATTACCAGCCAAGGAGGACGGTAGAGTGCTGGGAAGGACAGTCGGCACTGTGGGGAGGAAGACAGATGGATGAATGATATAAACCGTTAGGTCCGTGGACACACACTGACCGCTGCAGCAGGAATTGCAGTATCCTAGTTTACACCCCCCCCCCCCCCCCCCCCCTTATCTTGTCAACTTCTGTGTGTTGTGAGACTTGAGGAAACGAGGAGATCAAGTGATGCCTGACTAGCTATAACTTTCCTCCTCTTTTCCTCCCCTCTCTCCCTCCTTCCTCTCCCACACCGGGGATATGATATGACGATAGCCCTATCCAAGACTTTGAAGTCGTATGCACCGCTTCCGGTCACTTTTTTCCCCCAGTTAATTCAGTTTGATTTAGAACTTTCATGAGATGAAAACAACCATGTCTGCTAGTTTGTAGAATTAACGTTTTGTTTTGTTTTTGTTTTCTTTCACAAAAAACGCAACAGACAAAAAAAAAATGGAGCAAATTAAATGTTGAAGAAGTCCCAAAGTGTGGCTGCTTACAGTAGCATTATTTTTTGTTTTATGGATGAAGTTGGGGGAAAAAAAAAATCAACACTTGATGGTTCGAGAAGTTAAATGATCTGGGGTGTGTTTCCCCAAAAGCCTTGTTCGCTAACTATGTTCGCAAGTTCCATTGAACTCGTATTGGTAACGACAGAATTTGCGGCCATAGTTGCTTTTGGGAAACGCACCCCTGGATGGGTTATAGATGGTAAAGCAGATGTATATTAAATGGAGAAGAAAAGAAAAGCCAGTAACACTTTGCATTGGCGTTCCATTTGTTTATGTTTTTGGTATTATGAAATAATTCATTTTTACAGCATATATTATGGTTATTGTCGGTTTATAAATATAGTATTGTTCATTAATTCTTGTTTAATACATCTTGAAATGTATTAGAAATTATGTAGAAATGAACATTAACCAAGATAAAGACTACAAAGATATTGTAAAGTATTATAAAAAATTCTGTAACATTACTTGTTTGAAACCCATATGACTTTCTGTCTTTCATGAAACAAAAAGGAGAAATTTTGCTACTTAAGCTGCTCTTTTCCATATAATTAAAGCGGCCAGTGCACAATTTGGTCTGTCTTTTTCTAATATAAAACTGTTGTATTGTTTCAGAATACTACTTTTAGGCATAGGGACTCATTTTAAGGTGCTGTTATGTCCTTTCTGTTTGTCAGTCACTGGGCACTGTCCACTTTTGTTTTATGGAAAAGCACAGATTGGACTGGATTGGTGGAAGAAAGAAAGCCATACACAGTTGAGAATGAGAGAATACATTTTTGGTGAACTATCCTTTTAAATGATTTTTGAAAAAAATGGTTCAACCAAAAACAAATTAATTTACTCATCCTCACATCATTTCAAAAATATTACTTTCTCTTGTGGAACATAAAAGCTATTTGGAGAAATTTCTTAAAGTGTTTATGTCCATACAGTGGAAGTCACTGGGCACCAAAATAGTTTGGTTACCAACACTTTTCAGAATAACACATTTTATGTTTTACAGAACAAAGTCATACAGGTTTGGAATGATAGGAGGGTGAGTAAATGATGACAAAAGTTTAATTTTTGGTTGAACTATCACCAAAAGAGACTTTTATATTAAATAAGTGCAAAGCATACCTTCTTACAAATGCGTGGCCCAAGTAGGAGTGGTGATGCATCTATCCCCAATCATACCAAACAAACTCAAAATGACATGTTTGACCCTGACAAGAATGATTTTAATCCACAGTGTCAAACTGTCTAGGAAAGCAACATTAAATACTTAATACAGGTACTTCCTCTCAATTTACAGAATAATATGAGAAAGTAGCCTAAAAGGAAAGAAAGCAGTCGGGTTGTAAGGCAAACCTCAAAGCAGTTCACAGTAATACAAGACCACCCTTATAAATTACTCTATTTTGATTTAAAGAAACAAAAATGGGCAAAACCTCTTAAATTATAGGTAATAAATGGACATAAGTGACCATGACACTTGAGGAAAATAACAAGTAGGTCACTTTACGTATTAAAGAAAAATAGTACAAACTAAAGTCATCAGTAAATCATTGTTGTGATTTTATTTGTGATCTGAGGGAGGTTACTTATCTGCTGGGTTAGTTACAAACTGGAAACACTTTCAATGTGTTTGCTGGGAATGCTTGTGTGCATCAGCACACTAATCTGAACTCCGTTGCTCATTTATCATATTACACATTTTCCATGTCCCTTGAATATAAAGACTCCTAGGTTCCCATTCAGTTGGTCATTGATGCTTCCCCACGGTAAGTGTTGTATGATTTGCGGCTGGGGTAGTCTGTTGTCCGGAGTGCGATGATCCTGTGTATGTTGGCGTTTGGAAGAAGTAGAGCTAAAAGGATAGATGGAAATGTATTAAATACTAAAGCTGAGTGTTTGTTGTAATGGATGGTGTAACTTTACCGGAAGAAATGACCAATCAAACTGCATGTGCAGTTGGAAGGGGAGGTAATGCTTATGCAATTTATCGCAGTCCTTCTTACAGGATACACTATCATTCGAATATTTTGGGGTCATTCATATTTTAAAAATACAGTAAAAAACAATCTTGTGAACTATTACAATTTAAAATACCGGTTTTCTATTATTAAATGTTTTAAAATATAATTTATTCCTTTGATGTCAAAGCTGAATTTTCAGCATCATTACTCCAGTCTTCAGTGTCACATGATCCTTCAGGAATCATTCTGATACACTGATTTGCTGCATTTCTTAGAGATATCTTTTTATTATTATCAATGTTAAAAACAGTTGTGCTTAATATTTTTGTGGAAACTGTGATTTGACATTTGAATACAAAGTTCAAAAGATCAATTTATTTCAATTAGAAATCTTTTGTAACATTGTAAATGTCTTTACCTTTACTTTTGATCAATTGAATGCATTCTTCCTGAATAAATGTATTAAAAGTGTGTGTATAATGTACATTATATATATACATATATATGTGTGTGTGTGTGTGTACATTATATACACACACACACACATGTATATTATACACACACAAACACTGACCCCAAACTTCATCGGTAGTGTATGTCACATTATAAATCACTTTAAGCACTATCAACAGCATATGTTTTGTGGAAACTGTGATTTGACATTTGAATACAAAGTTCAAAAGATCAATTTATTTCAATTAGAAATCTTTTGTAACATTGTAAATGTCTTTACCTTTACTTTTGATCAATTGAATGCATTCTTCCTGAATAAATGTATTAAAAGTGTGTGTATAATGTACATTATATATATATATATATATATATATGTGTGTGTGTGTGTACATTATATACACACACATGTATATTATACACACACAAACACTGACCCCAAACTTCATCGGTAGTGTATGTCACATTATAAATCACTTTAAGCACTATCAACAGCATATGTACTTGTCAGTTACCACATAATTTAATATGGACTCATCCTCTGGTTTTTAGAAATGAAGTATCTTGAAAAGTTTATTTGCCGTGATATCAGACTGGTTGCAGTCAAATGTGTTAGCATAAGATTGGTGTGAATATGAACAACAATCTCTCAACATGCCATAACCAGCTATAAAAATAAACAAAGCTACTTTTGCTTTGTATTCACAGAAAGATTCGGGTATTATGGTAACACACAAGCAGTTGCTCCTAAAAAATAGTTCCACCTTAAAAGTTTAATTTAAAGAGTTTTATAGCTCAAAGATTAGTCAAATTATTTCAGATATAGCTGATAGCGTTTAAGGTGTATTTGACTTGGAATAGTCCTTTGAAGAGTTTCTCTCACCTTAAAGCCAACAGCCAGAAGGGCATGAAGTGACACTATTACTGCCATGGTAGCAAATGCCGTTAGTTTTGTGTCATCGCAAATAGCCGGCCAGAATGTCATTACCAACACTGAGCCAGAGATCACCATGGCAATGACAATCAATAGCCACTCGAGCCAGTAAACGGAAATTGTCCATGATATCTAAAAACAGAGACTGAATTTGACTTGTCAGGTCTAACATCATTAAGTCTGACCGTGTGTTGAACATGATCTCAAACTTACCGAGGTAGGGATATAAATGAACAGAGAGTAACCATAGACACACACAGTCTCTAAAAACGTGTAACCGCTGAGACTTTGGTGAACCATACCGAATCCAATTTGGGTAATTTTGACCCACACATAGTGACTGTACCAAGATTATATTACAACATATTATGAAGGTTACAAAGAATACCATACCAAGTAAGAAAACAAACATACCTGCATTGTATCTACGTTGAAGAATGACTGATAGTATTCAAACGTCCAAAAACCACCAGTTTGTTTTTCACCTCCAAGCAACTGTGGGAGATGTTTTGACTATTATTCATTTGTATGCTTGTTTTCATAGTGTGACTTTGGTGAACCATACCGAATCCAATTTGGGTAATTTTGACCCACACATAGTGACTGTACCAAGATTATATTACAACATAATATGAAGGTTACAAAGAATACCATACCAAGTAAGAAAACAAACATACCTGCATTGTATCTACGTTGAAGAATGACATAGTATTCAAACGTCCAAAAACCACCAGTTTGTTTTTCACCTCCAAGCAACTGTGGGAGACCAAGTAAGTGTGATTGGTTGACTGCAAATGTATTAAATCAACTGCAGTGTATGCTGACCTTGTTTTATGCGACAGAATAGCACTACATAAACTGATCAAAAATATAACTTTTATACAAACTTAATAATACGACAATTTTTATACAATAATTCTCAATCTGTGAGAAAGAAAAGCAAGTTTTTTTTGTAATTTACAATAATGGGGCAATGCATCACACAAATAAGTAATAATATTAATAAAATTAAAATGTTAAAAAATTTATTTATTTTTCAAATAAATGGTTTTCTTCTGAACTTTCTATTTATCAAAGAATCCTGAAGAAATGATTCACAGTTTCACAAAAATATTAAGCACAGCTGTTTTCAACATTGATAATAAGAAATGTGTCTTGAGCAGCAAATCGGCAAATTATAATGATTTCTGAAGGATCAAGTGACGCTGAAGGCTGGAGTAATGATGCTGAAAATTCAGCTTTGCATCACAGAAATAATCACATTTTAAATATATGTTTGAATAAAATAGCTCTTTTGAATTGTAATATTATTTCACAAAATTCCTGTTTATACAGTATTTTATACATTATTTATGGTGACATAAATGCCTTGGTGAGCACTGTTTCTTGGTAAATAACCAATTATATTTTTATTTTTTAGTTTTGTTGTTCACTCAATTAGCAATAACTATATGCTAAGTAGTATGTACTATAGAAGCAAGTACTATATGCTAGTAATGAGATCAGTTGCTTATTGCTTGCTAATATTGCTAGTTATTATCTAACACAGATACAACATTAATTTGGTACAAAACATTATTTGTATTAATTAACTTGTTTTAGTCTTGTTGTACAAATCTAAACTAATTATGTGGGAAAATGTTCCTTAATTTAATTAAGTTCATTGAACTATTTTTTGAGTGCACAAAGATATTTTTCAGAATATCTTCTTTTATGGTCCACAGAAGGAAGAATGTCATACATGTTTGAAACAATATGAAGGTGAGTAAACGATGGCAGAATTTTCATTTTTAGGTGAACTGCCTCTTGTACTGCTACAGTCTCCTTCCTCGTTCACCTTTCGATCGACATGGATCCTCCCCCACCCTCCACAACCTGTCCTATATTGACTATTGACTGTCACTCTATCCATCTTCAGCTGCCAATGTCAGACGGATACGGTGGCTGAGGCCGATCGGTGGTCAGTTTGGAAAGGGGGAGCTTGGGGTCAGCGAGGACATGTTGGGAGAGGGGTGGGGGTCATGCAGAGAGGTGAGGGAGTCTAGCCACGGCGCTGACCCCAATGACCACGACTCCTCCACCCCCTCCCATTATGTCTGATCAATATGCCACTATGAAGGGAGAGAATATGAAGGGAGAGAATATGAAGAGCGTGAGGGGGAGGAAAATGTTAAAGGCACGTCGACTCGATCAGACACTGGATCCGTTAATGCAGCGTCTTAAAGTAATGTGTCTGTGGAGAAAATACTTCGTAAAGTTCTTTTCCTGATACCACATGTACATCGCTCAGGTGTCTATGTGATTGCAAAGTCTCATGCATATGCCACCCTTAGATGAATTGAGTTTTTAAAACTTCACAATTATGATGATTATTAATGGTGGCCTAATGGCTACAGAGTTGGACTTGTAATTCAAAGGTTGCAGGTTTGAGTCTCAAGTCCGGCAGGAATTGTCAGTGGGGGGAGTGAATAACCAGCACTCTCTTCCACCCTCAATACCACGACTGAGGTGAGACCCAGCGTGAGGGGGAGGAAAATGTTAAAGGCACGTCGACTCGATCAGACACTGGATCCGTTAATGCAGCGTCTTAAAGTAATGTGTCTGTGGAGAAAATACTTCGTAAAGTTCTTTTCCTGATACCACATGTACATCGCTCAGGTGTCTATGTGATTGCAAAGTCTCATGCATATGCCACCCTTAGATGAATTGAGTTTTTAAAACTTCACAATTATGATGATTATTAATGGTGGCCTAATGGCTACAGAGTTGGACTTGTAATTCAAAGGTTGCAGGTTTGAGTCTCAAGTCCGGCAGGAATTGTCAGTGGGGGGAGTGAATAACCAGCACTCTCTTCCACCCTCAATACCACGACTGAGGTGAGACCCTTGAGCAAGGCACAGAACCTCCAACTGCTCCCCGGGCGCCGCAGCATTGGCTGTCCACAGCTCCGGGTGTGTGTGCACTTGGATGGGTTAAATGCAGAGCACAAGTATGGGTGACCATACTTGGCCACACGTCACTTTTTTTTTTTGTGTGTGTGGTTCTAGCACAATAGTAATAATAATAATAATAATTCATTACATTTATATAGCGCTTTTCTAGGCACTCAAAGCACTTTACATTGTCAGGGGGTATCTCCTCATCCACCACCAGTATGCAGCATCCATCTGGATGATGCAACGGCAGCCATAGTGCGCCAGAATGCCCACCACACACCAGCTTATTGGTGGAGAGGAGACAGAGTGATGAAGCCAATTAGCAGATATGGGGATTGTTAGGAGGCCATGATGATCAGAGGCCAATGGGCAAATTTGGCCAGGATGCCGAGGTCACACCTCTACTCTTTTCGAAAGACATCCTGGGATTTTTAATGACAACAGAGCGTCAGGACCTCAGTTTAACATCTCATCCAAAGGATGGTGCTTGTTGACAGTATAGTGTCCCCGTCACTATACTGGGGCGTTAGGACCCACACAGACCGCAGGGTGAGCACCCCCGCTGGCCTCACTAACACCTCTTCCAGCAGCAACCTAGTTTTCCCAGGAGGTCTCCCATCCAGGTACTGACCAGGCTCAGCCCTGCTTAGCTTCAGTGGGTAACCAGTCTTGGGCTACAGGGTGATATGGCTGCAAAACACTGAAACACATTGAAAGCAGTTAAATCATAAGCACTTAACTCACAAGCATTTATATATATTTTAGATATTGTGTACTTTTATCTGCCTGTTACATCTTTTGTGTTTTCAAGAAATATTTAGGGTATGAGCCTTAACATTAAATTAAAATGTAACTATACAAAGTATAATATTTGTTATGAAGTTAAAAAAGCAAAAAAAAAAAGAGGTTTTAATCTAATAAATGTAAAAGCTGTTCTTTTCTATTTTCCAAGTTCAGTTGCGTGGTTTATTAAAAGTAAAAAAAATTGCCTTTTTTAATAAACCAAGCAACTCTACAAATATATTTATATATTTAATAATAATAAGTTCTTATCAAGATATCAAAGCAGTTTTTTTCCATATAGATAGGGGGGAAAATATATGTATATATATATATATTACTAGTTTGGAACAACATAACAGTGAAAAAATCATAACAGAATGTACATTTTTTAAATATTGCCAAAGATTAGACACCTGAAATGGTTAAATATAAGTTTTAATAAGCATTTTTAAGACCAATTACTGAAGAAAGTAGTCTAAACCTAAAATATGGATAATATGTGACAATAATCAAAACACACACGTGAAAAGCACAACACTGAATAAACTTTGAGATTGTCTGACACCAAGCTGCATAAACTATTTTTAGGGTAGTGGCTCACAGAACTCGAAGGGTTAAGTGTCTGGTGCACAGCGAGGAAAGCATGAATGTGTGTGCATGTGTTTAAATGTGGAGGAGAGAGAGAGTGAGTGATGAGAGAGAAAAAGAGGGAAATGGGGTAAGTATAAAAATATAAATGTCTGTCTGGAGTGTGAAAATGTTTGAAGATGGGAGGGGATACAGACGGAACAGGCACCCAAAAGAGGGTGAGAGAAAAAAAGAGTGCGCAAGAGAGTAGGGTGGGGATGAAGGGGGAGGGAAGGAAACGAAGAGTGAGGGAGAGAGAGAGAGAGGGAGGGAGAGGGTGAGGAGAAGGAAGCGGAGCGCATTCACAATTTTCATTCAAACTGACACAGCCTGTGTGTCCCGGTTTGCACTCCCCACTCGCTCGCTCTCTCTCTCTCTACACACACACACACAAACACACACACCCACATTTTTCAACTGCTAACTTTGACTAATAGTTGGTTGTAAACATTAGTATAGAGAGTGTGTCACTATATGTTGGACATAATGGTCTCCTAATGATGTGTGTGTGTGTGTGCGCGTATGTTTGTGTATGCATGCGAGGTGATATCAATCCCTATGGAAGTGAATGGCAATTGGATTAAACTATTGATTTAGTCTGGAGCAGGTAGACATACACCCAGTTGGCCAGACGAAGGGGGGGAAGGGCCATCCACATTACTGCAGACTTCTTCATCAATAATCCTCTTGCACCCAAAACTAAACTAGCAGCAGTGACCGGCACAATAATGGCATGTCAAGTGCAAGGCATGCATGAGTGTTGTGTTTGCATGTGTTTGTATGCAAGTTGAGGGTGCTAGTTAATGTTCGGGGCTTGTATTTTTACATTTTTGCTTTTGTAAGAAACATAAATGTTTTTTTTTCAACTGCTAACTTTGACTAATAGTTGGTTGTAAACATTAGTATAGAGAGTGTGTCACTATATGTTGGACATAATGGTCTCCTAATGATGTGTGTGTGTGTGTGCGCGTATGTTTGTGTATGCATGCGAGGTGATATCAATCCCTATGGAAGTGAATGGCAATTGGATTAAACTATTGATTTAGTCTGAAGCAGGTAGACATACACCCAGTTGGCCAGACGAAGGGGGGGGAAGGGCCATCCACATTACTGCAGACTTCTTCATCAATAATCCACTTGCACCCAAAACTAAACTAGCAGCAGTGACCGGCACAATAATGGCATGTCAAGTGTTCGGACGTGCTATAAAAGATCAGCTTTTGCACAGATACGCACATGCAAACTACCATGTGAACTTCATATGCACTTCATAATGTGCTACTTCTGCTAACTTTTTTCTTTAAAAGAAATGTGAGGTCAGTGTCTTTGTGTGTTATGACTTTTTTGTATGTCTTGATGTCATTTTTTATTTTAAGAGGACTTTTATATTGTTGGAAAAGACTGGATTCTTGTAAAAACGCTTTCATACGTTTGTCAGCTATGCTAGAGTTTCTCAGTTATGTGTTTAAACCCTCTAAATCCAGTTTTAAAAGTTTCCCAGCGAACTTGCTTCATCCACAAAACTGGCCTATGAACTCATTCACCAGAGGGTCATGAGTTCAAGTCCCAAGTGGGGGATGGGGGGGTGGGCTGTCATGGTAGCCTTTTTTTTTCTTGCAGACCCTTCCCCCCTTCTTTTCCGCATCTCACGCGGCCGTCATTTCGACGGCTGGACCGAAGAGTTTAAAATAGAAGAGAGAGAAAGGGAGGTGGAGGAATGCAGGAGTGGAACGGCCGAGTTCGACGTATGGAGAGGGCAGAGATCGACTGGAGCCAGACTGGGTGTATGCATCTGAGAGAGTCACTGTGGTAAGTGTGTTTTTCTTCTCGAACCCCTGCCACCTCCCTAAATGAAGAGCCTGTGATCCACTGTGACTGTTACACATACAAGAGGACTTAGAATGTGATACAAATTTGATTTGACAAATGTGACAAGTGTTGCTTATGCGTTCAGACATCACTGCAGGACATTTTAATGTGATGTTATCCAACAAGGCATGCATGAGTGTTGTGTTTGCATGTGTTTGTATGCAAGTTGAGGGTGCTAGTTAATGTTCGGGGCTTGTATTTTTACATTTTTGCTTTTGTAAGAAACATAAATGTTTTTTTTTCAACTGCTAACTTTGACTAATAGTTGGTTGTAAACATTAGTATAGAGAGTGTGTCACTATATGTTGGACATAATGGTCTCCTAATGATGTGTGTGTGTGTGTGCGCGTATGTTTGTGTATGCATGCGAGGTGATATCAATCCCTATGGAAGTGAATGGCAATTGGATTAAACTATTGATTTAGTCTGGAGCAGGTAGACATACACCCAGTTGGCCAGACGAAGGGGGGGAAGGGCCATCCACATTACTGCAGACTTCTTCATCAATAATCCACTTGCACCCAAAACTAAACTAGCAGCAGTGACCGGCACAATAATGGCATGTCAAGTGTTCGGACGTGCTATAAAAGATCAGCTTTTGCACAGATACGCACATGCAAACTACCATGTGAACTTCATATGCACTTCATAATGTGCTACTTCTGCTAACTTTTTTCTTTAAAAGAAATGTGAGGTCAGTGTCTTTGTGTGTTATGACTTTTTTGTATGTCTTGATGTCATTTTTTATTTTAAGAGGACTTTTATATTGTTGGAAAAGACTGGATTCTTGTAAAAACGCTTTCATACGTTTGTCAGCTATGCTAGAGTTTCTCAGTTATGTGTTTAAACCCTCTAAATCCAGTTTTAAAAGTTTCCCAGCGAACTTGCTTCATCCACAAAACTGGCCTATGAACTCATTCACCAGAGGGTCATGAGTTCAAGTCCCAAGTGGGGGATGGGGGGGGGGGGGGCTGTCATGGTAGCCTTATTTTTTTCTTGCAGACCCTTCCCCCCTTCTTTTCCGCATCTCACGCGGCCGTCATTTCGACGGCTGGACAAACACCTACATCAGGCCTGTTACTTTTGCCTGCTCATATAGTCAGAAGTTTGACCTTCACCTCATAGGCCAGCAGTTGGTCTCGTTTTGTACAGATATGGGCCTTGAGAACAATTTCTTTTTTTTTCTTGCAGACCCTTCCCCCCTTCTTTTCCGCATCTCACGCGGCCGTCATTTCGACGGCTGGACAAACACCTACATCAGGCCTGTTACTTTTGCCTGCTCATATAGTCAGAAGTTTGACCTTCACCTCATAGGCCAGCAGTTGGTCTCGTTTTGTACAGATATGGGCCTTGAGAACAATTTCTTTGCAGTTTTTTGATGACAAATAGTTGTTATGTAAAGCAACTCACTCCAACAGTCCTTTCAAACTTGCTTTCATGTTTGAAATTGTGTACACGCCATACCGTCTGTTTGCATGTGTGTACGTGAGTGCGTTCCAAACACATTGAATCGACAAATGGACGAGGCGCGTTTCAGACAGCCCCTCTTTCATAGGAAATGAGACCCTTTGACCTTTGCCATTCAGTCTGTCTGGAAAAGCCGAGCCTGGAATCGATCAACACCCCCTTGCTCAGACATGCACTCACCACCTCCACTCTTCTGCCCGCTCCCTCGATTCCTCCTTCCCCCTTCCATTTTTCTCTTTCTCTCCAATCGGCAGCCCCCTGTTCCCGCTTACTCTCAGCTCCTGCTCCCTTCCCCCATGATCAGATAATAGACCCCACAGAACTCATGCTATACTGTGCCCGCTTCCCTGTGCATATGACCAGATCTCCACAGGCCCCAGTGGTCACACAAAACTTCCCCTCAGAGAGTGAGTGCACAGTCCCGTATGGCCTAAGAATATTTAAAATATGCTAAATATAGGCTGGAAACAACATGGCTGTTTTTGTTTAAACCTTCAGATGCCATTTATTTTGCAAGATGCACTTCCAGGGGCAATATTGTTGATTTATGTGCAATTATTCCGGTTAACATATAAAAATATTATCCTATATACATATATATATATATACTGTATATATACATGTATGTATCTATGTATGCATATGTATACATATATTTACATTTATGTACTGAGACTCTAGACATACGATTGTGTATATGCAAATATATATTTTGTGTATTTGCAAATTTTGCTATATGGGATGGATGGTTGATTTGTTGATGTGCATTAATGTGGTTAACATAATGAAAATATTATATACAATATATTTAAAAAAATTTACATTTAGCATTTAGCTTAAAAATATTTAAAAGTGGCCAAAATATAGGAGGAAATGTATTTAACTAAAACTTATTGAATACATTTGTATCAATACAATTGTGTAAAATATATTTTATACATAATTTGTTCTTTCATATACTGTATGTGTCTGCAATATAGATTTTTGCTCTATGGCATGGATCATTGATTTATTGATAATAATGTGGTTAACACAATGAACACTAGTTGGGGAGGACTGTTAACAATATCGTGTTTATATACATAAATGTGTTAATGTCAGACTTTGGTGTGCATGTCCAAAACCACACTATTCCAGCAGTATCTGAAGTGTGTGTCAGTCTCAGGCGAGTCACAGTGAACATTCAACGCTGTCGGTGAGTTTGCAAGTGAGAGAAACCATCGAGTGTTGAGTGTACCCTGCCTCTCGAATGTACTCTGACCACACGGACCTTCAGAATGCCAGCGACTACATGTGTGAGTCCATTTTGTTGCCGAGCTGGCCAAGATGGCTGCTGTAGTGTCTCTGAAGCTGTCCCAGCTGATCAGTCAAGCGAGAGACTGTATTCTGCATCTACTGTCACAGCTCTGGGTCTTGATTCACATTCATTGCTGTCGGTGGGTTTTATCTCTTCGACTCGCCGGACAATGAATGAGAACTATGGCCCCTCCTGCACTAAAATGAAAACTATGGGTTGTGAAAATAAGGACTGTTAATCTTGTTCATTATTAGACGTGTCACTCAACGCATGCACATCATAGAAGGTCAATAAATGATCATTGGGAATCGGTTGTTGCCTTTTACTGCAGGTTGCGTGAGTTAATTTACTAATCATCCACTCACCCTCATGTTGTTCCAAACTCGTATGGAAGACAAAGAAGATATTATTCCATATTATTCAAAATATCTTCTCTCAAAGAAAGTCATCCAGGTTTGGAATAACATGAGGGTGAAAAAGAACTATGGCCCCTCCTGCACTAAAATGAAAACTATGGGTTGTGAAAATAAGGACTGTTAATCTTGTTCATTATTAGACGTGTCACTCAACGCATGCACATCATAGAAGGTCAATAAATGATCATTGGGAATCGGTTGTTGCCTTTTACTGCAGGTTGCGTGAGTTAATTTACTAATCATCCACTCACCCTCATGTTGTTCCAAACTCGTATGGAAGACAAAGAAGATATTATTCCATATTATTCAAAATATCTTCTCTCAAAGAAAGTCATCCAGGTTTGGAATAACATGAGGGTGAAAAACATGACAGAATTGTTATTTTGGGCTGAACTATCCCCGTTAAAAAAATCTTTGAATACTACATACCATGTCTTCTTTTCAAAAACGACTTGTATATTCATGGTGCCAGTGGTCTGGAAACCACAGAGTGAAAGGAAAACCCTAGAGCCAGCAAACCGGCTCACTGACCAATGTGACCCGCGCAGACAAAGACAGAGTCAACATTACTCACAGCACAGTGTTCTTCCTCAGGCACAGTGTGCATGTAGCTAAAAATGGTCTGGGCGAATCTAAGAGGTGGATCACCAGGGAAACTGTCAACTGTCATGACTCTACAGAGGATATACACGTGTACTGAACACCTCAAAAGACTTTGAGGCTTTGAATTGAGACTAAAGGAGCTCTTGAGGAACCATGTGCTATTATTAGGTTCCTTGTGCGCAAAGAGAGCACAGTCGTTAATGAATGAACCCATATGTTTTGGGGTTCTGTGACAGAGCTGTTCCCACTCTGTGAACAAGAGCTTCACTTTACCTCCCAGCAGCAAGCCATTAGCGAACTACAGCTATGAGCAAGAATCACAATCTTCAAACAATTACCACCACAATGGTCCTATACCCAAGCAATTATACATTTATGCAGCATGCTGTGTAACATCAGAACATAACAATATATAGCTGTGAGTCTTTGACCCAGTGCATTTGTGCCAGCCAGTGGGGTCGGCAGCCAATTAGAGTGTGACTCCAGTAATTGGGTTGGCCGGATTGGTCCAAAGGCAGGGTAAGTGAGACTGATTGGAGCAGTCAGCTGTCTGATCTGATTGAAGGCTCCACTGCACTCAAAAGACTGTTCTCTGCCAGTCAGAAATATATGAAACTTACACTACTTAGTTTACTATACAGATCTATGTATTGTTGTTCCCTCTGAAATTAATTTGTTTATTTTGTTTGTTGCAAATAGTGTTTGTCTGGCTTAGAGACAACTCTGTCAAACAAGAATGCAGTATGTATATTTCATTTCCTTTTTAATTCTTATTCAGGCATCTTTATTTTTGTATTCCCTGTAATCTTAATTATCTTCTGTAAGCACTTCTGATTGTCTCAATCTGCTCCCTACTTTAGTAGTCAGTACACTAGCAAGGTGCTCAGCCATTTTTAGAGTCGGCATGAAATTACATCTATTTTACCCATTTTGACTGCTAGCTCACATTCATTTTTGGGTGCTATGCCCAAATCTCAAAATCCAGTCAACATCTGTGTGATAGAATCCCTAATGTGCGTGAAAGGTATTAAAATGGTTTTAAAAAGTGTTTTTTATTTGCTCTTTACTTAGTTTTTTATGTATATTATGCAATTTATTATTTGTCCATGCCATAATATATGTACTGTACATTATCTTTTCTGCTTAATTAAAAGAATGGTTTCATAATGGCTCTGTCATTTTTACAACAAGCATGCATGTGTGCTATACAAAAAAGTTTTCAATAAATACCAGCTACGCTATAATGTAAAACCTCATTATCAATGTTTAGTAGACCTGGGCCCTTGCTAGTGCCCAAATTCATGTTAACTGTATTCTCCTTCATGATAGAGGGAACAGAATGAAACACACCCATAAATTTAAAATAAACATATTTTCTCTTCCAAACACAGTACTCATTATCTTCCTTTATCTTCATGTTGTGTACACTCCACAAGTTATTATATAATTTCAGTTCTTTCTGACAGTCTCCACATCCTGTGTTACCTCTGCTTTCAAACACACACCGCTCGATTTCCCGGGTCAATGTCGCCATATCCTGTGAGCATTAGACACTTGGAAGAGAGGTGAAGGGAGGTCATAAACACTTTGTCTTGTCATCACATGCATCCATATCTCAGATAGCGTCGAAAGGCACTCCTGTCAGTAGGCACTTTTTTGGTGTGCCACTTGTTAGTAGCAGCTGAACACATACAAACAATATAGGGAGAACATAAATACCATCAGAGCTTATTGTGATAAAAATGTTTAAACTTCAACGTCACAAAGTCTATGAACTTTGCTGAACAAAGATATAATCTGAGTTCTACAGTCCCAACACAATGATAGCCCACAGTCTATAGACTCTATGGGCTGTGACTGGGTTTCAACTGCTGAGAGGGGCAATGAAGGTACAGGGCTCAAGGAATTTGAGCCTCCTGTGAATTCTAGACGCAAATCCTCTCGGCAGCCCCATTTAGAAACATATGTCAACAACAAGATACTGTTTAAAATTGGAGCCATCATTTCAATTTAGCACGTGGTGAGAGTAAAGCCAGAAAACAATAAACATTCATAAGATGGTTTCATAGTGACTGAGCACCACATGAAAGCGCAAGTGAGAGCGAGAAAGAGAGGACAAAAAGCGGGTCACTCTTTAAACTGTGCGAACACAAAAACAGTTTTTGAAAAGGCGATTGGACTGTGCTGCTCTGACACAAAGCTTCTGCAATTTTGCGCAACACACTGAGGCACAATTGTACACAGTCGGATGATAGATTTGTATTCATTATCAAGGCAACAGAGTCGTGGCGAAGAGAGAGAGAGAGAAATTGAGACTGCGATCTGGGCAGGCCTGCAGGGCTGTTACTTCTGTCTGCGCTGATGATGAACAGTCACTCGGTCATCCCCAGTCTGCACACGCACCAGAGACCTGCATCCCAACACAGTGCGGGCATCCGTCAGAGGCACGCAGTCATAATTCATCCCACTGGCAGCTCGCAGTGGTCATCGCAACATAAAACGCTGCATGTGAGTGCCGCACAAAGGAAACATTTTGTCATGGCTGGAAGATGTGCATTAGAAACTAATTATTTCAGAAGGGCTGCTCTCTCTTCACTTCAGAGAGAACACCAATTTGTCTTGCGGTAAAAAGATAAGAAATGCTCACTGCTTAAAATACAGGTGTATGGGCAGAGCAAGAAGAAATATAGCAGCTATTTAATCTCAGAGATAAGATAGGAACCTTCATACAAATACATAGATGGCTTTAATGAAAATCATGATCTTAATCATTAAAAGCCTCTAAATTGTGAAGCAGATCCAATATGTGTGCAAATACAGTGGCACTTTATTTAGTGAAGTGGTGCAGTAGCAATGAAAAAAATATAAAAGATGCGGTCTGTATATAACTAACAACTATCTTTTTGACTGGTGTATTGTCATATCAATTTTTATATAAAACTTTAAAATTTTACTTTCTAAACTAACTACACAAAAGCCAACCCAGTCAAATGAGAAAATGCAACAATTTCACTTTTGGGGCGAAATGTTGGTGAATTCACACAATTTAATTTGTAGTTTGTGCTGGGTGTACCTTAGTATCAATCGAACAAAATGTTGGAAATATTTCATGCCACAAAAATTCCAAGGGACAAAAAAAGAAGAAGAAAATAGTGGGACTTTTTTTTATTTATTTTTTTTACTTTCAACCTTATTGTCATTAACATTATAATAATAAATAAAATAACAAAATAATAAAGATCATATTTTAAATAAATATTTCCGTATTTATTATAAATGATTTACATTTATATAAACTGTATACTTCAACAACAGCATCATCAGAAGCTCAGTCTATGATTTGGCTTGTTTTTGTTATAGGTCACATTACCTCAGTCCTTCTTTATCTCAGTTTCAGTGGCACTTAGTATGATTAACCAGTGTTGAAGAGCTCCTGCAGGTGTTTACCTATAGACAATTAGTCTCAAACTCACAAACGCTTCTGTCAGGAGCTTCACTGTTTGTGCGTCACCTTTCCCTATCATTACAGGGGAAATTAAAGCCTCTGTGGCATGTGTAGTGGGGGAGAGGGGCCCTGAATGCTAAAAGCAAGTATTTATCTCCTTGAGAGAAAATTACATGTTTTCCACTTTCTCTTTTGTTGGAAAAAGCCTGAGTATTTAGGGTTTAGATCTTCATAAGGTGCAGTGTGATCATAAAAATGATTTGTTAGATTTTCAGACGAAGATGCTCACAGGGGTGAAAAATAGAAAAATAAAAGACTTGGGGCTTGAACAAAATACAGATTTTATGATAATATTAGAAATCTCCAATAAAAAGCTAAAAAACAAAAACGGTCTGAATTTGTCATAAAGTGCATATTGAACCGTGCCATTCCAGCTCATTATAATAAAAGTTTCTAAGCATTGCATTCTAATTATATGTCCTCAGGCAGGATTCAATAAAAAGAAGAGGGCAAGACTTCATACACTAAACAGATGTAAACCTCATTACAGGGGAAATTAAAGCCTCTGTGGCATGTGTAGTGGGGGAGAGGGGCCCTGAATGCTAAAAGCAAGTGTTTATCTCCTTGAGAGAAAATTACATGTTTTCCGCTTTCTCTTTTGTTTGAAAAAGCCTGAGTATTTAGGGTTTAGATCTTCATAAGGTGCAGTGTGATCATAAAAATGATTTGTTCGATTTTCAGACGAAGATGCTCACAGGGGTGAAAAATTGAAAAATAAAAGACTTGGGGCTTGAACAAAATACAGATTTTATGATAATATTAGAAATCTCCAATAAAAAGCTAAAAAAACAAAAACGGTCTGAATTTGTCATAAAGTGCATATTGAACCGTGCCATTCCAGCTCATTATAATAAAAGTTTCTAAGCATTGCATTCTAATTATATGTCCTCAGGCAGGATTCAATAAAAAGAAGAGGGCAAGACTTCATACACTAAACAGATGTAAACTCGCTATCTCAGCCACCCACATCTAAATGTTATGGGGCTGCGGTTTGACTGATTCATAGTAAGCTCTCTTATTAGTCTTCACTGTGCTATTGCTTTGATAATGCTGTATTTTGGGCTTGAGTCCAACTCTGAGAAACATCTCTGAAATTATATATGAATCCATTTTGTAAAGCATAATGTACACTAGGTTGGTCACCATTGCAAAATAACCCCCAACAATGTGATCAAGACTATAAAGAAGTGGTTTGTGACAATGTACAAAACAATCAGCCAAACAACAAGAGGAACACTGCAACAATATTACAGTATATTAAAATTCTCTGAGGTAATTTTCACTACAGTCGATAACTAAGACGCAAGATGCCAGTAGTTGTATTTGTATGAAACAGAAAGTGAGAGTCTGTGGTGTGATAAAAAACATGAAAGTAGCGCTGGTTATTATATGAGCTATATGAGTCAGAATTTTCGCAGGTGACATCCAGTCATTTCAATAGAAACCACACGATCAGGAATTTTGTGTGAGGGCAAAACATTTCCCAATGCAGATTTCTGCAACAGGCTGACCAACACAAAGCTGCTTGGTTTGAAAGTTACTTATGTGTGACCTGTGCTTTA